GATTTTTGTATTCATAGACTAAACGGATTCTTGAGGAGGTTAATTGCTTGGTATGCATGAGTCGAATCAACGACCTTTAACATTATCGATTACTTTAGTTTCATTACGGATTGATCATTAGATCTAGAGGCTTCTCCTGCATCAGCTGATATCAGAGCCGAAAGGTCTTTTACCGTCAGAGTCGGCATTCTAGCTTGGAGAATTGTTGTTCGGTAATTCTCGTTTATCAACAATTTGGTTTCATTACTATTTAAAGTTTCTGTTTGGAGATTTCTATTTAAGAACTCATCCGTCTAAAATTATTGGTGGCTGATATTTGAGTAATCTACTCAAATGGTCCTTTACATTTGCTCAAAAAAGTAATTTAGTCCTTAACATTAGCAATCACTAGATTGGTCCATTACATTTGTATTTTCCACTACTTTAGTCCTTTTTAATTTTTAATTTTTAACACTTTACATTTGGAGGTTTCTCGGGTTGACTATTTCAGAGTCAAGTCAATAGGATATTTTCGGTAATACTAATTTAAATTTTTAAAAAATATTAAAAAACAAATTTTTTTATTAAAATAACATTAAAAATTATATTGATTTATAATTAATTAAAAAATGAAAAACTAAGAATTCAATATTAGAAAACTCAAAAAAAAATTTAAAAAAATTTCTTATTTACTTCATTTTTAACCTATGGACCCAACCTCTAATGGTCCTTTTTCTTTCAATTTTATTTCCCCGGTCCCCGCAAATTAACGTTCAAACTTCACTAAGGGGGTTGGGAATGGGAGTTTGAGTGTTTGATAGTGGAGAAGGAGGGATTTTGAATGAAGAAGGACTATTAGAGATGGGGTCCACAGGTTGAACATGGGCACAATAGATTTTAAATATTTTTTGAATTTTTAATTTTTACAATTTTTTCATCAACTATAAATTAATAAAATATTTCTGATGTTATTTTACTCTTTTTTTTAATCATTTAGAAAAATTTAAATTAAGCCTTACCAAAAATACCTGTTTGACTTAACCTAGAAATGGTCAACTTGAGAACCTCAAATGTAAACTGTCAAAAAATGTAAAAAGGACCAAATTAGTGAAAAATACAACTATCATGGATCAAACCAATGAAGTGTCAATATTTGATAAATTGAAAAAGAGTGGTTCTCTAGGAAATTCCAAGGTGTGTTGTACTTTGGTCCTTAAGATCCGGACATTCACAGACTAAACGGATTCTTGAGAAGGTTACTTGCTAGGTATTCGTGCATAGAGTCAATGGCCTTTGATAATATCGGTTGCTTCAGTTTCATTTCGGATGATTGTTAGATCTGGAGGCTTCTGCTGCATCTAGCAATGATGGCCAAACAATAATAGCAGTAACAAATCAGTGGTGAAAAGAAAGATTATTGGCCAAACCAAAAGATTACAATTCACAAAATTTTATGAAGCTCAAAGGCTCTGATACTAATTCTAAACAAGTGAAATATGAAGATTTTTTTATTCAATTGATATATTTCATTATAAAAATACAAGATCTTTATATAGAGCCAAATGTATGTCTGTACAAGGTAAGATACACTATACAGGAAATGTATCAATCAATGATCACGGTCACCTAGTTAAGGAAGAATATCAATCTCAAATGTATACTTGATTAACATGGGCGGTTTGCATTCCATGCATGCATGACCACTGTTGGAGCTGTGGACTTGATCTATGCTACATGAGCACCAGTTAAGCTCGTCCTGGACAGAATATAATGAAAAAGAGGAGCACCAAGAATTTAATAAAGATATCGCCAAGTTGACAATATGACAATCAACTGCAAGGTGTTTGGTTCTTTCATGAACGACATGATTGGTTGTGATATATAAGGGTGCTTGATTGTCGCGCCAAAAAGAGATGGGAAGTGGAACCGAAATATGAAAGTCGTAAAGAAGATAAGTAATCGATTGGAGTTATTGAAGTGTGACATCCATGACTCTATATTCAGCTTCAGCTGGACAACATGAATTAGTACGGCTTCTTAACTTTTCTATTAAATCAAGGTGCACTCCAGAAAGATGCAAAAACCAGTAATAGAATGTTGTGTGGTCTGGCAACTTCCGTAATCAACATCACTATAAGCTGTGATACTGCAGGAGCTGTCATGTGAATAAAAAAAGGCATGCGGAAATTATCTTGCCAGATAATTCAATGCATGTAATGCAACATACCAATGATAATAATGAGGAGATTACATATTTATTTAGCTACTGCACAACGTAAGCTAGATCAGGTCAATTGAAATTGAGTTAAAGCAATTCGCCATTGAGGCGTCTGTACTGACCAGTATCAGAAAGAAGTGGTGTAGGATCCTTGTCTTTAGAAGGAAAGTGAAGATCTCTTGGTAAGGATGTAGGAATTGCATTGTAATCCAGCATATTGGAATCAAGAAGAAGATCTGTGATGTATTTTTGCTGGTTGATGGAAATGCCAGTCTCAGTATAGTGAATTTCTGTGCCCTAGAAGTATGTGGCTAACCCCAAATCTTTTATAGTAAATGCTTGATCAAGAAAATGCTTAACTTTCTGCATTTCGGTCTGTTTCATGTTAAATAAATATCATTCACGTAGACAAGTAGTAGCAACAAACAACCTGAGGTATGAAGTATAAACAAACAGTTATCATTATAGGATTATGCAAAACCATAGTCTTGCAGCTTAATAGTGAACGCTTGATTCCATTGCGAGATGTCTGCTTAATTAAGTCCATACAAGGAACGTTTGAGTTTGCAAACCTGCTGCTGAGAAGCCCTAGCATAATCGGGAGGTGGTATCATATACATGTCCTCTTCTAGAAACCCATAAATGAAGGCATTATTGACGTCCATTTGATAAAGAGACAATCTCTTAGAAATCACTATGGAAACGAGCAAACAAACAGTGACTGATTATTTAGCAACTGGAGAAAATATTCCAGAAAAATCTTTCCCTTTAAATTGAGTATACCCTTTTGTCACCAACCGAGTCTTATATTTATTAATAGTAACATTAGATTTAAACTTCACCTTATAAACCCATTTTGAACCGATTGCTTTCTTTTCCTGCGTCAATGTTGTCAACTCCCAAGTAACATTACATTCTAAGGTTTGAAGTTCCTTATCCGTAGCTTCCACCTAGTGATGATTGGTGGGAGCCTGATTGCAAGTAAGTCGTTCCTGAAATGTCGACAGATTGGCCAAAAACTAACTACGTGCACTAGATGAAAGACAAAAGGAAGGTTGTGATTGAGATGTAATATTAGTAGGTTTAGTAACATAACCATCTAACAATGAAGGTGGTTTGATGACTCGAATGCTTCTTCAAACATGGTATCAGAGTGGTCTGGGCCTGCAGTGGAGTTATGGGCCGGAGATGACCTGTGGTGATTTTATATTAACCCACTTGAGGATTGACTCGTGGGCTTGTTATGGACCGATCCAGCGGTATAACTCGTTTTCTTCCACTAGAGCGTTGACTCGTGGGCTATTCTGTTCTTGTTTTCATCCAAGTCCATAGGACAAAAAGTTCAAAGACCCATTGGACTTGAGGGAGGGTGTTTAGGTGTACTATCTTGTCCCACATTATCACTGTGAAGAGAAGTGACTCAGTATATAAGTTCCAAATGCCACCCCATTCATTACCAATTGGTTTTGAGGTGGAATCACATGTGGGCTTATATGGGCCTTCAATATGGTAGGTGTATTATCTTGTCCCTCGTCGCCACCGTAAAGAGAAGTTACTCAGTATATAAGTTCAGAAGGCCACCCTATTTATTGCTAATTGGTTTTGAGATGGGAGCCCAAAGTACTTATAAACTTTGACATGGTATTTTAGAGGGGTTCTAGCCTGTGGTGGAGTTCTGGGCCGGAGGTGGCCTGTGGTGATTTTATATTAACCCACTTGAGTATTGACTCTTGGGCTTGTTGTGGGCCGATCCAGCGGTATAACTGGTTTCTCCCACTGGAGCATTCACTCGTGGGCTATTCTATTCTTGTCCTTATCCAAGTCAATCGGCAAAAAGTTCAAAGACCCATTGGACTTGAGGGGGGGTTAAGGTGTATTATCTTGTCCCACCTCGCCACTGTGAAGAGAAGTGACTCTGTATAAAAGTTCCAAAGGTCACCCCACTCAGTGCCAATTGGTTTTGAGATGGGAGCACAAAGTACTTATATACTTTGACAGAATGGAGGAGGATAAAGAGCAAGAATATGATGAAGAATTCAAATCAGAAGACTGAGAGAAAGAATAATGAGATTCACATTAAGGATTAGAATGATTTGGAAAATTGAAAGAAGTATTATCAGGGCTTGGTATTGTAATTGTGGGGAAAAAAAATGCTGATCATTAGAGATATTCAAAGAAGGAAATGCAGTCATATAGAACAAGACAACTCTAGACATGATTGATTTCCGTAAAGAATGACAATATACTTTGTAATCCTTCTGGCCTAAAGGATATCCTAGAAAAATCCCTTTATGAGACCTTGGATCAAATTTATCCCTATGTGGGCTATTATCAATAGCAAAGGCCAAACATCCCAAGAAACAAAGAGAAGTGAGATTTGGCTTCTCTTTATAAAGGATTTCAAAAGGAGATTTGCAACTCAAAACTTGACTTAGCAATCTATTGATCAACTGAGTGGCTATTAAAACAGTATCACCCCAAAACTGTTTAGATATAACTTGGATAGAATAAGTAGTGACCTAACTATCTATAATAAATGTCAACGTTTACGTTTTACTACCCCATTCTGTTGGGGTGTATAAGGATAACAGTGTTGATGTATGATCCCAAGAGTACAGAAAAAGTAATACAACTGGTGGTTTAAGAATTCAGTCTCATTATCTGTACGATTAGTTTTAACCATGCTTTGAAATTTTGTTTTACTTTGTGTAAGAAAGTGCTCTATTAAATTAGGCACTTCTAATTTGTGCTAAATCGAGAAAGCCTAAGTGCCTCGACGTGGATGCTTGCGAATTAATCATAGATTGCACATATGTTTGATAATTCAACATGCTGAAATTAAAAAGAAAATAAATAGTGCAGTCATTCCATTTTTCACGCGTTGAAATTTTGTTGGATACATTTTTTAAGAGGATTGCTTGGAATGTCTCTGACAAAAAGCCTTCAACCTTCCGAGTGCTTCTTCAATGGATGCAGGATCTGCAGCAAAAGTCACTCTAATCCAATTCTTAAGCCCCACCACAATTCCTGGAAGAATGATGAGAGACTCTTCTTTAGCCAGCTGAAGACAAAACTCCATGTCGTCGCCAATGTCTACCAAAACTGATAGATTAAGCTTTACCATTAAGGCCATAGACCCTTCAGCTTTAGAGGAGTAACTAATGGAAGGGATTTCCTCTAGCTTTTCATAACACAGGTTTGAAGTCTGCCTCAGGATTTTAATGGTGTTGGCGAAGAAATCCGTATTGGTTTGCCGAATAATTTCAGGAACAGCCGCCTGGAGGAAAGATGCTGGACCTCCAGAAACATCACAATACTTCTTGACACGCTCGATGAGCTTGGGGTTTCTGAATTCTCCCGACGGATCGTTCATAACCAGCCACCCGAGGCGCCATCCAGGAACTAACCATCTTTTCGACAAAGAACCCAAAGTAAGAACCTGTACTTTGGATCCAAATACACCCATTGGAACAAACGGAGTATCACCAAAAGCCAAATGCCCATAAACTTCATCAGCGATGACCGGGATTCGAAGCCTTCCAACAGTTTCCGCAATCTCCTCCAAATGCCGGCGTCTGTAAACGTTTCCACAAGGGTTTCCAGGGTTGATAACAACCACTGCGACGGTATTCTGATCTGCAAGAGTTTCGACAGATTCGAGATTAACCTCCCAGCCTTTATCAGGCAGGAGATCGTAATAACGAGCCTCAATGTTTCTGAAACTGGAACAGATTCCATAACTCGGGAAACCAGGTCTAGGTAACAGCACATTAGCTCCAGGGCGAGCCAAGACGGATATCACCATATCGATAGCTTGGGTACATCCAGATGCTACAAAAACATCATCAGGTGACAGTTTGTACGGAAGATCAGCAGACAAATATTCCGCAATCGCCTTTCTTGTTTCAGGAAGCCCACCGGTGGGATTGTAGCCGTTGAATTTGCCGGAGAGAACGGAATCCGCCACGGCTTCTTGAGCGGCAAGATTGGTACTGAAGCAAGAATAAACAGTCGGGTCACCAATCCCTAAAGATATCAGTTTCTTCTTGTTTTTCTCAACATTTAAGTTGGCCATCAGCAAGCTAAGTGTCGCTTTTATGGTGACATTACTTGGTGCTTCAGTAGTCTTGTTTCCATTTTCAAGCAGCACCACACCGCTTTCCATGGCTTCCTTCCAATTGGGATTTATTTGCCCTTTTTTTTTTTTTTGGTTTCCTTCAATTGTATTGACAAGAAACTATAGGGAAGAAGGAAGAGTTTTTATTCTGCCTTACAGCAGGCACAAGATTGCACAAGTGCGTTATACGATCTACTAACTGATTGAGAACATAAATGACCAACACTTCTCTAGATTCAACCAACCCAAATCACAAAAAAAAAAAATTTAAAAAAATAGTACTGGTGTGCTAACATCATCCATCCAATAGCATAAAGCCGCCATTAATTTTGATAAAAATCTCAAAACAAAGTTGACTTTTGCTAAATTTATTGAGCTGTAAAAAATTGAATAAGTCCTGAGATTTAGCGTCTACTGCTAAGAAAAACCATCTCCTCATTGTTATTAATTTATTATTCCGTATGTCTCAAAATTATTTTTTAGTTTGGATTTTTATTTTTAATTCAATTTGTACTAAAACTGAAAACCTAAAATGAATAATAATTTCTGGACGGAATAAATACGTAATACAATCGTTTGATCTATTAAGCCGTTTAGAGTATGGTATTGTAAAGAATAACAGCAAGTGTTTACTAGTGATTAAAATGATCGTTAGTGAGGTTTTACTTTGTGAACCAATCTACCTCTCTCTCTCTCTATGCAAGGCAATGAAAATTCACAACTGGAGAGATAGCCGCCATTTTCAAAGCTCATCAAATTAAGAATATTGTTTGAATAAGAGTGATAATGCATTTCACTATCTAAAAAACAATTTTTTTTTCCTTTTGATTAATATGTGTGAACTCCAGAAAATCTCGGATTACCATCATGTATTTTAAATTTGTCTATATATATGTGTTGATCTACAGTCAGCTGTTTGTGAAAAGTCTTCTAATAATTAACAATACTTCATATATATGATGCATGCATCGTCCCAAAAGCTGGTAATAATTAAATGTATTAGCAAGACATTCAATAATTAAATGATCCATAATTAAATAAGTACGTATCATGATCCACAGTTAAATAGTAATCAAGTTGGTAATAATTAAATGTATTAGCAAGACATTCAATACAAGAATTAATACTTATAGTGACAACTTAAAAGTCATAATTAAATGTCGTAACAAAAGATATGCTTTTATGACGATTTTTTAAGTCGTAACAAAGTTCTCATGAAAACAGAAAACTTTCTTACAACATCAAAATGTCGTAACAAAATAACTATGTAGTTACGACTTCTAAGTCGCCACAAAGGTTTGTTACGAAAATGTAGCCACGACAAATGACGTTGTCACTAAATTATGTATTTTGTTACGACATAAAACGTTGCCACTGTCAATGACGAGTAAGAAGTCGGCACAGTATGAAACCGCAGTGACAACATTCCAAAGTTGTAAGTATCGATCATCAACGGTCACAGGCATAAATGATAATGACTTCGGTATCCTAACTAGCTAGCAACACTAAGGAATGACTTTTATCTTAACCATGTGACTAATAGTTTTTTTTTTTTTTTTGTGTTGTTAATTATATGTTTGTACTCCCTCCATTCCAAAATATATGTCACTGGAGGAGTTTCACAAATTTTAAGAAGACTATAAATATTTGATTAAAATACCTAACTACCCTCATTTATTTTCAATACAATTCTATTCCCAATATTATTTAGTTCTAATACACTTCTATTTTAAATAACAATTACAATTTCCCATGTAGGGGCAATGTCGCAAGAAATTGACAAAATATGCCTAGATATGCGAAAACGATATCTATTTTGAAAAAAATTAGTTTTCCTCCAACGACATATATTTTGGAATGGAGGGAGTAATACATATTGCAGATTTATGCTAGCTATGTATACGAACCTCTGAGTTGCATAGAGATAGTGTATATCTATGAACTTCGGATTTGCAAATAGATAATGCATATATATGGTTGATGTCATTTTTGTAATGTATGTGCTTAGTTTTTGTGGCAACGAAAATTAAAAGAAAAAACAAATTAATTCAATGAAATGATTATGTGGGATATGAAACTATATAATATTAAAGAATATTCCTCAAAAGTTGATATGTATAAAGTTTATGCTTTTTAATTTTCTCTTTCTGTAGCTATCTCTTTAGAAGTTTAATAAACAACTATAAAATAGTATTACATATCATCTGTTGACAACCGATTTAACTATGATTTATGAAGTTATACTTAATATTACGTAGTAAACTGTTGTACATTTAGAAAGTTTAGGTCTAGTCGAAGAGAAAAAAAAAAAAAACTACTACCAAATGATATAATGAGTTAAATTAATTATATTTGGATTAGATCAAAGTAATAAAATGAACTAAAGGATGTCAATCTATAAAGTGTAAGGCGTTAATGCATAGATTTATTTGGTTGAGAGACATAAAATAGTACAACTAGTATATGTTTTTGAAAAGAGATGCAAATACCATTAAGTCCAAGCCCTTTACCGCAATTCAGATTTCAGACCCCCCTCTTCCCCAAATGAAAAAATATTCAGACAGTCTTCTGAATTTTTATCCCGCTTCTTTATCCCGCTTTCTCACTAAAAATCTAGTCAAAATATTATCCCTTTCCATTTTCTCCAGAACCATCGTATAAATCTGTTTCTCCCAATATGCCTCCCAATTGAACAAAGCTCCGCCTACGCCATTCTCTCACCGTAGCTTTCGGCGTTGCCGGATCTGCTCCCCCCAGCCCAAATTCTTTCATTATGGGTGATTTGACAAAAACATTGAGGTGTATATTTCAACGTGCCGGCTCCAGATTTGTTGATAAGTAAATGTTGAGTTTAAATAGCTCAGATCGACGTAAATTACAAATACCAGAACTATTAAGCTTTACAATTTTGTATTATGCTTCTAAAATATTTGTTGAATGTGGTAGTTGTTAAAATGTTTGATTGTAGGCATTGTGAAATGTTTGCGGGAATTGTTTTCTGTCTAGATATTTAGGATGCTGCTTGATTTTTTTATATTTGAGTTAATGTAGAATTCCCCTTGTTTCTCCTTAGCTGGTTATTTGCAACATCATGTAGAGGTAAGAAAAGTCATTACTTTCCATGTTGATTAGGGTCAATTAGTAATTAGTCTTAATAGGGAGAAATGCCGTTTAAGGCTTCACATGACCAGGATTAGGATATAACTGCAACCAACCCAAAGCTTTTCTGTTAAGCAAAATTTATCAACTTGCATCGCTTCTAGTACTTTAGTGCAGGATTTCTAGCTATATATTGAATTGAATAGCTAATTTAAATTGTTAAAGTAAATGGTTACTTGAACCCCCAAGTGTGCTACGATTACTGGTATATTCTCAAAACGCGTAATAACATGACTGAGTATCACCAATAATACTAATTCTTAAAATCAACCATAACTTGCTTAATTTATTTTGGGCTAAACTTTATAAAGTTATAAAAGGGAATTGGTTTGCAGGTGATAGATTAGAGGAAAATAATAATAATAATAACTTAATGACAGCCTACTTGAATGGAACAGCAAAAGTAGTTGTTAAAAGCCAATCACTTAATACAAAAAAAAAAAAAAAAACTTACAACTAGTGTTTAAAAAGAATACTTGTTAATCCGATCCAAGCATGTCACCAGGTAAGTTTTTGTTTTCAGATGACGTTAAACGATGTGAAAGAATAAGGAAGGCATATTTAGCTTACACTCTAATTGGAAATGTTATGAACTAGACATCCACAAATTCATTGTGTTCATTTACATGAAAGAGTTAATTCTGTACAAGTATAGCTAGGCTCTAGCTGTGAATGTAATTTTGATGCGATTGTGTAAGTAATGAATTTTGTCTTTGAAAGGGTGTAAATTTTAAAAGTGGCTTTAAACTTTAGAGATTAACGGTTTAGAGTACAACGGAAATTGATTATTGATTAAAAATCTTGAAAAGAAGCTTTTACCCTTGAACTTGTGAAGTTGATTTGAACTCCAATGGATCAACTGGATATTGTAATGTCCATGTGGGACCTAAACGTGTACCAAACTAGCAGTGATGACTGACTACAGTCTCACGTATGCCGAATGGTTATGCGAGGAACCACTTGTGATGTTACAGTCTAGTTGACGATCTCTTGAAATTCTGTACTCTTTTGCAAACATTAAATAGTTTTGACTACTTTGTGGGAGCACTAAATTCAGAGCCGGTCTGATTTCGTATTGGTTGCATGTTGAAGTGAAATCTAATGCGATACATGATTTTAATTTTATGAAGTTTAGGAACTTGAAATTCAGAATTACTTGTGACTCATCTTATTTTCATTGAAATAAGATAGATTCAAAATTTCTTACATAATAATATGTTGCTGAAGTAACTAGGATTCTTGCAACATTTACAAGGTAGTGATTAAAGAACATGGACATTCAATACTTGCTCACCTGTACCGTTGTGTATTAAAAGGAAAAAAAGAGGCAAAAAGGAAGGGGGGAAAAAAAAAAAGAGAGAAGAGGAAGTATATGATAGAAAAAAGAGCATTTCCTGTCTATTACCTGTTATGACTATTTGGTTATATATAAAAAAAAGCAAATATTATACTCCCTCCGTCCCATAATTGTTGTCCAGTTTGGATTTTCATTTCTAGTTCAAATTGTACTAAAAATGAAATCTCCAACTGGATAATAATTTTGGGACATAGGGAGGATGTCTTTTTATTTCTTTGAGGGCGTAGTAAGTGTATGATCCTGTTAGTAAGAAATAAGTTATGTTCCTTTGTTTGAGTACACATTGCTTAAATAAAATGATCATTGAGGAGGCAAGGAAATTAGTTTGACATTACGTTGTTAACAGAGTTTTTGTCATTTGACCATACTTAGAGATGCACATAAGAACTTCAAATTTGGAAAATTTTCTGATTTTCCTTCATAATTCTTATCATAGATGTAGTTATATTATAAAAGTTAAGATCATACACCAATATGAACATAATGCATTAATCTATTATAAAAGTTAAGATCATTAATCTATTATGCATTAATCTATTAATCTATTAAATTACTTAAATGAAACAGGGAAGGATAAAGGTTAATCAAAATTTGCTGGTTTTGCCTGCGCTTTGTGAGATTAAGCTTTCAAAATTTTCCATTGAAACATGGGGAATGCATGGGCTGTATAAACATAGGATACTGTGGTTTTGAGTTAGAACCTAAAACCATTAGATAACTAAAACCTGTGGGTTGCATAGATGAAAGAAAGAATAGAAATATATTTCACCCTTTTTGTTTTAATCCTTAGGACTTGGATTCAATGATTTCGGGTCATAACTCATTCCTTACGCACAAGACCACCCGTCCTAATATTTCTAACTCAGATTCATTGACTTCAGATCTGGAAAAGGGAAAAAAAAAAAAAGAGAGAGAGAAAATAAAGAGAAAAAAAAAACTAAAAACTGAAACTATGAATTAAGAGTTGCAGGAATTTCGAGGACGAAGGTTGTGAGAACCCGGTTCTCAAGACCTCTCTGCCTCGTGTTAATGGTGGAATTAGCATCTTAATTAGACTTATCATAACAATTCCTACATGGATTAATTTTGTTTAAGTAATAAATATAAAAATGACTCAATTGGAACCATTTGAAACCACAAGGACATAAATAACCAAACTAGCTTACTCGAGGGACCAAGTTACTATTAAGGGGTGTAAATATTATTCTTCTTCTTCATTTTCTGGAAACCGTCGAGAGACTCCCTTACCAAACTTTATCTTCTTCGTTTTTCTCCAAGTTCTTCTTCCCTGATTGATTCTCTCAAATCTGGCCATCGACCTTCGTCTTCATCATCTCATCTTCTACCCGTCGTCCTATTCTACTTCATGTCATCACTAACCATCATCCTCTTAACACCTTCAAGTTGACAGATCAATTATAGTAAACGGGAGAGAGAGATGTGGAAGTAAATTAAAAGGAAAGAGAGAAAGTTAGAGGCCGAGAGTGAGGGAGCGAGAGAGAATAAGAAGAGAATGAAGGAATCTTGCGGGTTCATCATCTAGCAAAGCAGCAGCAATTGCAATGAATGGGGGATTGGGGCTGTTGCTTTGGAGCTTAGTTTGAAGGAGTCAGAGCATCGGATTGGATATTTACTAAGGTAACTTGCTAATCTTCTTGTAAAATCCAAATTACAACCCTTAAATTTAATTGTAAGAAATAGGATCTTTAGGAGTAACTCTCCGTTTGCTTTAACTCTGTAAATTCATATGGAAGAGGAATCTGTGGGTTGTATGTGGAATCAAACTGATTCGTTGAAGGTTATCATCCTTGTGAATCGAAACTTCCGCATTCTTTATGTGGTGCATGTAGGAACTAGTCTAGTTTAATTTAGGTTCAAGATGGTTATACTTCCTGTTATGTGCTGTTCTTGATTGTTGAGTACTGCAATTAGAAGTTTATAAATCGTATATTTAAGTTCTGAAAGTATGAACTTAGTTGCAAAAAGTAGAGCATGCAAAAGTGTGAGAAAATTCCAGATTTGAGTAGTTATTTGGAGAGGCCGGATTATCAGGTGACACGGTGGTTCTTGTGCATATTTTTCTTACCAAACTCTCCTTGGAATATCAAGTCTTCTTTAGGCTTTAATGGTTTATCAAATATCTCGATGGATCTTTCAAAGTTTGGTTCAAACAACATATGTTTGCTGATTTTATTTTTGAAAGTGCAGAAAATCAGATTCGAGTCCACCTGTTCAATGGCTTCTTTCTCCTACTTCTCGAACTCGTTTTTATTATTTCTTTATATGAATCTCTTCTATGTTTAATCTAGTTTAATGTGGTTTTTATGGATACTGAAACGGACTCGTAATTTGTCCGGAAATCTTATTTGAACATGACATGCTCATTGCTGAAGCTGCAGAACAGTTTTCTTCCGTTAACAGGCCGGTTTCTCTTAGGTTTTAAACTCTTTTCCTGAGTTTCTTTATATGAAACTCTTCTTCATTCAGTGTAGTTTAATGCCATCCTTACGGATTTCAAATCGGAGTTTTAGATTCTCTAAAAACTAGATTTGAACATTGCATGGTCTATACTGAAAGTCTGCAGAAAACCAGCTTCTGAGTTCCGGTTTAGGAGGTAGTTACTCCTATGTTTTGACTTGTTTTCTGAGGTGTCTTTGCATGAATATCTCCTATATTTTGGGAGGTTTATCTCAGTGTTTACAGCTCGTGAAAAGGAGTTATATTTTGTCCACAAATTAAGTTTGAATGTAACTCATTGAATTCGAAGTTTATGGAAAGCGATTCAGTTTTGAAGTGCTGTGTCTGAGATTTATATTTGTGTATTTTCTGAGGTTGTTTTCCTGAATCTTTTATTGAAACTCTTCCTTGCTACTCCTAAATTGAAATGGTTCATGGCTTGCAATTTGGATCATTGGTTTGATTGAAAACTTGCATTGAATACGACAATTCTCTCACCTTTGTGCTGAGAATTGAGAATTATAATTTAAGAGACAAACCTTGTAGCTTTCTTTCTAATTGAACGTAAACTCTTTTCTCATAAAGTTTCCTTGATTATTTTTAATGTCTATCAAGGTGTAGAGTAGCTCACTAGCTAGTCGGCCTTAGGATAGTTGAGCCCGTTAGAGGTCAAAGGTCACATGCCAGGTGAGTGTTCCCCATTCTTTTCTGAAAATTTATTTTTAAAGTCTTTCTTATATTTTTATTTAAGTTTTAGTAATCTGCATGTGCTATGAATGCGTGTGTGCTTGTGTGCCTAGTTGCGAACGCGCGAGTGCAATGTGTGTGCATGCTCTTTGTTGGTCCTTGGTATAGTGTGGTGCCTCGGATCTTGAGACTTGTTTGTTGATCCTTGGTGTAGTGTGGCACCTTGGATCGTGATTCTCTGGGCCTTTGGGTCGTGAAGGGACTATGGCTTGCTGTGTGATCTTGCCAAGTCCTGGTTTGAATGTGGAGTCTTCGCGCAACGGCGCGTTGTTACCAAAAAATTATCTGCGCATGCGTGTGTTTTATTTTTATAGCAATGATGCTTGCGTGCATGTGATCCCCTTTGTGCTGCATGAATATGTTTTTAAAGCCTTAGGGACCTCACTGGCTTAGCTCACCCGTCTAGGATATTTCTTTTCAGATTTTGCAGGGAAGTGTTTCGGCAAGAAACGACACCGATTGTAGCAGCCATTAGGTGGGGTTTAGCAAGTCTTAAGATATTTGTATAATAGAATTTTGTTTTATATTTTAATTAAAGTTTTGATCATATTTGGTTAGATATAATTTAATCAATTTGAAGTGTATTTCATTGTTGTACTTAGTAATCATAGTGTGGGACCCGGCGTGAGCTGGGCAGACGTCTATCTAAGTTTCCTTGATTAGTGTTAAACTAATCGGAGCGGATTGGAGGACGTCATAGATATGTCCAAACTTGAATTGTTGCTTATCCCCAAGTAACAGTCCCAAACTCAGAGTTTTATTGATCCTCTCGTAAATAAATTCATGCTACACTTTTGCTGACCTAGATATAGAAAGACTGACTCAGAGAGAAGAAGTGATTTTTTTAATTTTTATAGATAAAAGTACTGACAGTGATCGAAAAATAATGTGGCTAAATAAACAGAAGTAAATACAATATTGTGTCAATGTTAGTTTCAGATTTAAGTCCCTCACTGGGCAGATTATATACCATTGTTTATCACCGGAAAGTAGTATCACAGTTCTTCAGTGTGTGTCTGTGCATATATCACAGTTAAAATTCAAGGTTTTATCTATGATCTATTCTAAGAATTAATTATTTTAAGAATAAATGAACATCATTATGATCAGTACATGTTTTCTGCATGTCATCAATTAGGATATTTTTATTGAGATTTTTAGATTCTAACTATTTCCTCACAAATTCTGCAACAACATTGGTTGCAACTTATTTCTCCCTCAACTTTTTTTCTTCTTGTCTATTTGACTTTTCTTTTGGATCTTTCCAACTCAGACATTTACTCAGAGCATATTTCCACTTAGTTATTTTTTCATAGTGGCTCAGCAACTTAGGGCATATTGGTCAGAACATATTTTCATAGTGGATCTGCAACTTATGGTATTTCATCTGGAGCATTTTTTCACTCAATATCTATAGTGATTATTCATAGTGGCTTATCAATTTAGGGTAGTTCTATTCATTTTTTTGATTTTTCCTCACCAGGCCTGAGACTCTCTCTACTGGTTTGTCGAACCTAAACACTCAAGGGTATTACTGCATCATTGAACAGTCTTCCTAACTTCCCTCATTTCAGATTTTTCTTTTCAATTCAACCATTTCCCAAGGTATTTAGGCTTTTACAGGCCACAAGGGTTGCCTTAGTCTGCCATGATGCGAAGGGTTGCCTTAGTCTTCACTTAGGTCTATAGTCCCCGCAGGTTTCAGACAAGTAAACTTCAGTATAAGATCACAATAATATAATTAGACATTCAGATTTTGGCATTAAGTTCAGAACTATCACTTTGGCAAGTGACATATTGTGCTCGAGAAAGTGAAGAACTATAGTACTGATTTCAAGTAAATCAACAAGTATTCAAAACTTTAAAATTTTCTGCGCATTTTTGAATCATCATAGACTTTTGACACTGTATATACATCAACTAGTTCACACTTGCACACAATGTTTGAAAATTTTTCAAATTTTTCCAAAATTTGATTACTATTATACTTAGAATATTAAATGCAAACACACAAATCCCTTCCCCAAACTTAAAATAAGCATTGTCTCAATGTTTACAACAGAGATGCAGGGGAAGAATAAATCAAAACACTAAGCATGCAATTTGACTGAAATCAGAAAATCATCATACAAAGTGTACTCAATCTAGCCTAAGGACTCTAGATGCACAGACTCAAAACAGAAAAACACAAAAATTAGACCTAATTTAAAAAAACAGAGGCTAAAAGAAAAGAAAAAGAAAAACCAAAAAAAGACTCCACTGGGTGATTGCAGTTTTTAATCCCCTCAAAAAGGGTTATGGTGGGTTCTCCAGATGCCATGGTCGTTTGAGTTCCTTCCTAACATTTGTCGGTAAAAATTGCACATTGGCTCGCTCCATGAGCCTGGTAATAAGGACTGGAAAGAACCAAGACTTCCTCCTGGGGTTGGTAGCGCAGGAGCCTATCTGTTCCCTGATCACTGCAGCTACATCGACCAATGTGTTGGTGACTATTGCGTAGAGCAATAGTGCTGCTTCATAGGTTACCTTCTTCCGGCGTCGGCTAGGCATGAGGTTGGTGCAGATGAAATTGAACTAGGGCTTATACTCTGGTCTTAAAGCTGAGGTTGAGAAGTATCATAGGCTGCCGTTCTTGAATGTCCAGATGACATCCAGTTCCCGACTCAGCATCCCTGAGAGCTCCTCTTCATGGTCAAAATCCATTATCTGATGGAGTGTTTCTCCATGAGAGAAATCTATTTCTGGAAATTGCAGCAATTCTCTGATTGCCGCCTCATTGATGCTGACTGCTCTGCCCCTCATCGTCACAGTGTCGCCTTGTGCTTCTCTCATACTGCGGTAGAATTCCCTGACCGCAGTGAGGTTTGGTCTTTGAGGGACATCACACAGTCTCTTCCAGTGATGTTCAACAATGTAAGATGACAAATCCGTTGGGAAAGATGCCGCCCTTTCCATGATCATCCGCCGTTCCCAATGTTGTGGTGCAGATTCGACTTGCTCAGAACCCTGTATTGAGTCCGTTCTTCGGATCTGACTTTGGCGGCCTCTGCGTGGAGTGTGCCTCCATCTTCCTGCATCTCTGGATTCTGCGGAGTGCCGTTCTGTCACCATTGTTATGCTATATTGTTGAAGGATAGGAGTGCTTTTCGGCTATAGGGTTTTGGTGATGGCTGTTATAAAGAGGCGGAAGGTTGGAGAAGGTTATAATTTATTGAATAGGGTGTTTATGGAAGAGTGGGGTGTCAGTTTTTGAGCTATAATGTTCTAGTTTCCTAGGCACAACTCTAGACAGTTTTACCCTCCATCTTCGCTGCTATTTTTTGAATCAATCTTCCCTCCTGGCTGCTGTCCTTTGACTAGAACACTTAGTGACTTTTTAGCTGCGATTTTATCTTGACAAATAATCTCAATCACGAAGGTGTGTCTATCACTCGCCCAACTGAGACGACAAATCATTGTTCCTTGCTTTGTGTAGATAATCAAACTGAAATGTTGCCGTTCTGATTATATCATAGTCTGCAACGCATTTCAGGTTAACTATCCACACAATCCTCACTTGAAAATTTCTGATAAGGGCTCTTTCACCCTTTTGGATTGCCACTTAATAGATAATTTGAAACAAAATTAAGAAGAACAAAATAACTTACCTTGGGTTGCCTCCCAAGCAGCGCATTGGTTCCTTACTTGGATTTCTTCAGTTGCAACACCTCCTTGTGCTGCATCTCAGCCTTCTGTTCTATGCTATGTGCTTCCCTCCTTTTGGGATTCTCTAGCGTGGCACTAGGAAGAGTACCAGCAGTTCTATCTGGTATCCTTCTTGCCATTTGTGCAACCTGATTGTGCATATCTTTCACAGTTGCATCAAGACTAGCAAAAACATTACCAACCTTGATCCAGTCTTCCTCCTTGACTCTGAATGATTGATTCTGAAATCCAGGTGGCTGAGTTGATTTCTGGTAGTTTGACTACTGATTAGTCAAGTTGTTGTTCTGCTGTGGCCTCCAATTGTTGTTATTGTTGAAGCCTCCTCTGTTATCTCTTTGCCTCACGAACTGAACTTCTTCCACAGTAGCTTGACAAGTAGAGCTGGAGTGAGATCCTGTACAGATGTTACATATATCAACTTTTGGTTTGATGTCAGCTCTCAGCTTTGATATCTCACTGGTGATGGTCGGCATTTGTGGTTGCAAGTGAGTTGTAGCATCTAACTACAACACTCCTGCTTTCTTAGTTATAGCTCTAGGCTCCTTCTGTCATCTGAAATGGTTAGCACATATATTCTCCAACAGCTGGATTGCTTCGTCTACAGGTTTCATCATGAATGCTCCTCCAGATGATGAATAAAGTGATTCTTTAGAAGCTTGCTGCAATCTATTGTAGAAAATACACAGTTGCATTAGCTTCTCTACACCATGTTGAGGCATTTTCTCATTAGATCCTTAAATTTTTCTCAAGAATCAAAAAGAGTCTCTGTCCCATGCTGCTGAAAAGTCATGATGACTGATCTTAAAATAGCAGCCTTGACAGGTGGCAAGAATCTGGTAAGGAATGTCTGTCTGAGTCCATTCCAGGAATTGATTAAATTGTTGGGTAGAGTGTCCAACCATTTTGCTGCTAAATCCTGCAATGTAAATGGAAACAGTCTCAAGTAAACCTTATCTTTAGAGAGACCTTGGATTTTGAATGTGCTGCACATCCTCAGAAATTTTCTGATGTGTACATTCGGATCTTCACTAGGCAGTCCATAGAAAGGACAAGCAGCTTGCACCCATTGAATCATTTGAGTTTTGAGCTCAAAGTTCTCTGCTGCAACGTCATTGTACACCAATGGAGTTTGAACTTCCTCATCTTGAGGTACAAAATAATCTCTTAGTCGTCTGGTTTGAGCTTAGGGCTGTTCCATTTACGCGATTTGAATTGACCCGATGATCTGAACCGATCCGAACTGAAATCAAACCGAAATATCAGTTTTGGATCGGTTCAGATTGGTTCAAAAATTAGTTACATTGGAATGGTCTGCAACGGTTCGGATTAATACTTGGAACTAAATTGAACCGAAAACATCCACACTTTTTAGTACACGTTATTAGTTTTTCTTTGAACACGGTTCAAATTTAGACAAACTCCACCCTCAACCCTCACTCCGGCTTCATCTATTTGCTCACTCTGGCGACCGCCATTCCGGCGACTAGACGGTGCATCAAATTATCGATAGCGTTTCTTAAACCTATCAAATGTTTGATATGACGTTGATGACTTCCGGGTCTAGCGTGACTTTCGGATCTAGTGTGACTTCCGGATGTAGTGCTGACATTCGGTTCCGACGACTCCACTGAAACGGCTGCTCCGGGCTCCGGTCGCTTCATTCGTTGGTAGGCAGCGGTGGTATTTGTGGTAGAACTCTCTCTCTCGCTCTACGGCGTCCTATTCCACCAGAAATTTTAGTGCCAATCCGGCTGTTTTAGCACCTACAATCCTACAGCCATGAACATCTCTCACTTTTATGCCTTATACCCTGAATCACAAAGAGGTAATTCAAGAACCCAAAAGTTTAATTTATTCAAACTTATGCTTCTTGAATAGTATGCTTAATTTAGTGCCTTTTTTTGTGTGAAATGAACTGTAAATGATGCTACACTACTGAATTTTGGTTTCTGTTTGAAGATTTGTTCAAAATAAATTATGGGTTTTGCAATAAGGAAAGAAATTCATGAATCGGTAATTATTTATGAATCAATTCTGCTGGAGGGATTTAGTTTAGGACTATGAAGTTTGGTTGGTCAGATCTGCTAGCCTAGAATTGACCATATTTCCTTGGTGAACTGACCCTATTGGGTTTTATTTATTTTGAACTTCATTTTGTGGGTTCCAGAACTAATACTGTATTGTAGATGCTTCATTTGTCCAGTTTAAAATGTTTTTTTCACGGGTTTTTTTTTTACAGATGCACTTCTTAGTTCTCATGGTTGATGTCAGTTTTTACGGAATTATAAACGGAATTTTATTCAATCCTAAAATCGATTTTGAAGTTGAAATCTGAATTCTGAAAATTTCAGAATTATCGTTCTGTTGACGAAATTTTGAACTGATCGCATCTCCTTGCAAATATATATACCTTTTTGTCTGAATTCTTTTCGTGACCCTTTGGTTTGTTTCTTAAGATGATTATCAGTTTTTACGGAATGAAAAATGGAGTTTTATTCAATCCTAAAAACGATTTTGAAGTTGGAATCACAATTCTGAAAATTTCAAAATTAGTGTTCTGTTGACTGAATTTTGAACTGATTGAATCTCCTTGCAAATACAACTTTTTGGTTGATTTCTTTTTAGGATGCTTTGGTTCTCTCATTAAGGGTTTGTCGATTTTTACGGATCCTAAGTACGGATCCTAAAACGGAGTTGTGGTTGGTTCTAAAATCGTGTTTAAAGTTGACTGATGAAAATGATTTTCTGCTAAGTCTAGAAATTCAGTTTCGAGAATCTATTTCTTTTATGGGTTGCCTTCACTATATTTACAACCTACTTGATTGATTCTTGTTTCTGTATCTCTTAAGAAGCTATTGGTACAAAAGATGCTCTGAACTTAGGTGGCGTTGGTGTAGAACTTGCCCTGAAGAACATGGAGTATAAGGCTATGGCTTCTTGTAGGCAATGGCTGTTAGTGGCTTTCTTATCATGGTTCCCATTTTGAAAATAGTTGCTATTCTCCTTCTAATTGAATGCATTCAGTAGCATTTTATGAACCTCACAGAGGCTTGTAAGCTCCAAAGGTTAATTTGGAAATCTCTTTGTTCTCAGCACTTATCGCATTATTTTGTTTTCTATGAGTTGCCAAAGGCTGTTATCAACTAATTTGCTCTTGAAATCCCCTGCCTCTGATTTAGTGAGTTGGTTTTAGGGTTTAGGGATGACAGCTCCAGTGATCACAGAAGTTAAACCAAGTGATGGACCATTCCATGCTTCGTTTTCATCTTGAGCTTCTATGTTCCCAAGGTTAACCAATCGAACACTCCACCAGCCAAGGGGCTTCATGTGCAGAGGTGGGGAAATACTTATCTGGTCGTGAGGCAATTCAGAAGGTTTGTGGCTAATTCTGATGCTGCAGTTGAAGCCTCCGCCTTGCATGATGGTGTCTCTGGAACTAAGTGAGCCCATTGACAATCCAAGATCAAATTGTTATGAGGAAATCCAATTTTTAACATAACGTGTATCAAATTTTTAACGTAATGTGTAATGTTGAAATTACTTGAAATGACGCCATGTATGTTATGTCGTACATTTATCGTGCTTCTTTTAGTTTGAAAGGGGAATCAATGATCAAATTATATTAGCTAGATTATGATTTATGAAGTACAAATCTTAGTTTTAGAAATTAGTTTTTAACGTAATGTCTAATGTGAATTGTCCCACTTTTTGTTTAGTTTTTTTTTTTTTTTGTTTAGTTGAGTGATTTTTTAGGGATATAAAAAAAAATGTAAGTCCTGACATTTTTCGTATGAGTTTAAATTGCTTGATTTAAAGTTATAAGAAAATATTTTTTTAGGGGGTAAAAAAATATAAAAGGAAAGGGGCAAAATATTTGGAAATAAATTAGAAAAAAAAATTCAAATGGGTCAAAATGTTTGGGGCGCCACCCGTTCCCGACTGTTTGGGGCGCCACCCGTTCCCGAACCAAGCAAATGGTTTGGTTCGATTTCGATTCGTGTCGGGTCGGTTTCGGTCAAAATCACAGCCCTAGTTGAGCTGGTTGTAGGTCTCTTTCTTGAGGTTGATTAGCTGCTGCTACCTCTGCCATATTCTTCTTATCTTGTTTAGGAACTTGAGCGGCAACTTCTCTGTTTCGCAAGGATTTTGCTCTCCTCGCTGTGTCTTTGATTTCTTGATCAAAACTTATTGAAGGGTTGCTTCTAGTCATAAAGCAGTAATCAAATCACGAAAGTAACAAAAAAAGATTGAGTGAATGAGTGAAATTGACAGAAACAGAAAAACTAAAAAGAATAAAAATAGAACATAATAATCAAATTTTAAGGATTTTTAACGGTATCCTGCACAACGACACCACTTTTGGTGAGACGAATTTTGTGTTGATTGTCGTTGGAATCGCTTCCCAAAAGAATAATTTATAAACCTACTTAAAACTATTAACTAGTGGTAAGTAGGGTCGTTCCACAGAGAGGGCAGTCAATCGCTCAAAATATAATTAAAATGCAAGAAAGAAAAGAACTAGTTGAACAGATTGTCACTTGGGAGAGTGAGAATAGTCACTTGACAGAGTGAAGAGGCAGAAGGATCAATCACCTTCCTGCTTTTATGATTTAGTTTTGATTCAATATTCCTGTAGTGTATGATTAGTTATTCGATCAGGCACCTATGTATCTTTATAATTCCTTCCAGATAGAATACAGAGTCCTAGATTATCAAACCCAGTTAGAGTTTTATTTAGTCCAAGCTATGAAGTTCTTAAGCCCTTATTAATTGGCTATGCCACCACCTAAATGACGTTGGTGTGTGAAACCACAGAGGTAGATTTTCTCCTTTGTCAAATACTAGATTAAGCAGTTCTAAGGTTATGTGCCCTCTTCCAGATCTTCATAACCATGTAAGCACTTTTAATTAATTGATCAAGTTAACTAAAAGGTTAATTAAATCACTTATCTAGGCACAATACCTCATCAAGAAAACTGAATCAAAACCTTCACATAAAGATAGTAGGGATTGAACTTTTAACTGAGTTAGCTACTCATGCTTATTGAGTTAAGCATGAGAGCAATATAGTACAAAAGATAAGACATGAATCCAAATCAAAAGGTTAGAGGAAAGAAAGGGAAGATGGTAGTAGGGACAGTTCTGCCTGCTCACTATGGCGAGTGGCGTCCGCATTGACAGAGTGACAATCTGCCTTGTTCCTGCTACTACCCTGTTTCTAACCAACTAACTAAACCTAACTACTGTCTTTTGGACTAAATCTAACTATCCAATCTGTTAATTTTTTTTCCTACTGCTATTGGCTGGCTATTTATAGAGATTTGGAGAGGCTTGGATGGGTGGAGTTCTGGCCTTCTTTTTCTGCAGCAGAAAGGTGAGGCAGCAACTTGCAGCAGAGGAAATTTGTTTATTCTGCAACTTGCCTAGTTGGCAAGTTGCAGTCTTCTCTTTGGCTGCTCCTTCTTTTTAGCCGCAATTTAGCATTTTCCTCTCATCATTGCCTTCTTCTCTTAGTCTCCTTCTCCGGTGCAGCTGCTCCAATCTCAGCCACAAGTCTCTATTTTTCATTATTTAATCCTGCCTTTATGATCTAGCTTCCAATCCAGTCCCTTTTGATGTCTTTTAGTACAATTTGGTCTTCATTTATGTTGATTTTTCACATTGGCCCCTTGAGATACCTAAACTGCAAAGTCTCCCTAAAAATAAACTAATCCTAACTATTGATGATAAATTATAAATAGAAATGAGTAAAAAATGCTTGCAAAAAGGATATATATTTTTGCATCATCAATAGTCAACCGATAGATACAATGGCCGGCCATTCCTGTTAGCAGTCAGCTTAATCATTTTCTTTCTTAGGGAATTTTGTGGTGTCTAATTTGCGGATGGGCATTTAGCACAACTGTTTAATACCGAAAGCAATCTCTTTATGAAAAGTAAAGCTAAAACTGTATATGCACGTCTCTCGCCATTATATACCTTGCGAAGTAGGAGCCTTTAAAAGCAAGGGTAACTAAAATCTTCTACTTGTAGAAGAAGGCGAACAAGAACTGGCTGTGATTGTTGAATGATAACCCATATTTATCAAAATCACATTATAAATAAATAAATTTTCCTTTCAAGTTGATTAGCCGCAATATATATAAGTTATATGTTTTCCCTTTTCGATATTCCAAGCTTGAGGATGGGAGTTTTAATGCACTCATGACGAGAAAAAAATAACTAATTTGTATGTGTTTGAATATTATCCAAAAGTACAATCTTTAACAGTTGAAAATCATTATTATATGAAAATTTAAAGAACACATAAGTATTTAACCAATAAGAGACGAAATCTATATTGGCATACAAGATGATGACTAATTAAAGTTGAATGTTATATGATGATGCCTGGAATTGTACCTCTGGTGGGGTGGTGGAACTCCGGTTAGGGTTTTCTGTAAAACAGAATCTCAGGGCCTCCCGAGGGTAGACACTCCGAAGCTTAAGTCAGAAAATAGGGTTATCAAATAGTCTGCATGTAAATTAGTGCCAAAGATAGCGTACCTAATGTGGAGTAACCGCCCCCATTTATAGGGCTTAGAAGCATCTAAATATTACTAGGTTTAGTAATATTAAGCCACCGACCTCATAGCCAGTTGGACTTTGGCCGAGGTGACTGGACCGACCCATATCCAGGAGTGGATTTGGACTTGTCAAGTGCCTCTGTCAAGCATTGGTTATAAGAAATAAATATATCTTGACACAAAATAATCCTAACCTGGACTCGACCCAAGTTACTTGAACAAACCCTGGCCCATGAACCCTCTAATAGGCCTGATATTTTATTTCACGGGTCAGGATTCACCCGGAAGATGACCCGATCTGGAATCCCGCCCAAAATTTCGACCGCGCATAGCGAGCGGGCATGTTTCCCCAAACGACGGCTCCGTCATCATTACCTCTCCTTGAACTCCGTCCCAACTGCTGAGACGTGGGAGAGATAAGTTTTAATCTCGCTCTTATAACAAATACTACGAGGTCCAAAAACTCTTGCCATTCACTCTTTTCAAATTCTAATTCCGAAAGTACAAAGATTCCTGCCCCTGCGTATCAACCATTGTCACTCCAGACAAATCCCTTCACGACCGCCAGAGATTCCTGCAACTACTGTTACCAGAAGAGAGTCGCCGAGATTCGCCCCATTGGCTAAACAGAATTCAGAAGGATACTAATAGAAGTAAGTCATCCAACCCTCTTGTACTTTTAGAACCTGTTTTTCTTTTGCTTGAATTCGATTATATCTGCATATATTGTGGTAGATATGGCTGTCCGAACAGTTTCGACTTCGCTTCCACCATAAACTGTACCGATAAAGCCCAGGCAAAAGCCAAAAAGTACGATTTCCCCGTAGATCTAGAATATCGAGCACCTTTAGGCACAGAAAGGGCCACTACTCCTCCAGAGGGGAAAATAACTTTATATGATAGGTTTATGTTCTTAGGGCTAGGATTTCCCCTGTACCCTCTGTTTGGAGAAATAGTTCAATATTACCAAATTCCCCTTGCTCGATTTACACCGAACTTGATATCGGCAATCCTTGGATTTGCGAGGCTCTGCGAGTTGAAGAAGGTTGAACCTTGATTACTAGTGTGGAGGTATTTTTTCAAAGTTTGTGTCCCCTCGACGAAATACAAGGACTGGTATAATGTCAAGAGGAATCCCAAGTCGGGTGCAAAGCAGATAATAGAACTCTTTGACGGTTCCCCAATGTGAAAACTAAATTATTTGTTTGTACAAGCTCCAGAAGAGTTTTGCTTGACCTGGGATCACCGTGAATCCCAGGAGATGTGCGTTATAGCTGATTTTGGTCTAAATCCGACAAGGCCAGGGTCAAGCAACACAGGAACGACATTACTATTCTGGAATCTTTCGAGAATTATCTCAACTGGGCAAAAGTGCAGCAGTATATTCCCCAAATTCCTGTCGAGGATAAAAAAAGGTACTAACTCCTCTTGTGTATTCTTTTTGTTCTAGGCTATGTCGTCGAGCAAGAACACCGTTGGCTTGTTTGGTGACGCCAAGATTTTTTATATTAAAAATTTAGATGATGAAGGATCTTCCAACAAAGTCAGCAAGAAGAGGAAACTGAGGAGGCTAGTGAAAGCATCCGAAGCTGGCACCAAGTCAAAGAAGAAGAAGAAGCAGACTCCAGCAGTCGAGAAGGAAGGGCCAACCGAGGAAGCTAACCCAATCGAGGAGGATAAATCCGTCGAGGAAAACAGGCACATCAAGGAGGGTGCTCCCATCGAGGGGGATAAGACTATCAGGAGCAGCGTCCCCCCGGAGAAAAGCGGGAACCCAGAAACGGGGCGAGACCCCAGTTGGTTCGCAACGGTTCCGCCTTCGCTGTCTCAAAGGAGAGATGCTGCTGAGAACCCAGACGCTTCTCCCGGGTCATCATCATACACCGCAGCCGCTGCAATATTTCACTTTGGGGATGACAGAATTGAATGCCCCATAATAGAAGAAGTGGCTGAAACAATGACGGATGAAGAAGCCTTAAAGATAGTAAATGTTGCACACACACATGCCTTTCACATTCATTGCTTGTAACTGGTGTTTCGATTTATGCTGACCTTTTGCTTGCAATCTTGATAGCTAACCACCTCTTTCGCGAGCATTCTCATGCGCAAAAAGAAGCTGAGGGAGGAGATCTCCAGTCTGGAGCTCGAGAAAGGGTTCCTCGAGCGTGAGAAGGCTATTTATGACGAAGCAAGTGATAATGGTTTATTTGTTACATAAAAGCATCACAATTAACTCTGAATTTAGTAAGAAATTGGGGGGTATTTCCTATTATTTGTGCACTCTACTTAACCAGTTTTTGTGTTTTTGTTAGGTTGGGGGTTGATTGCAAAATTTCTGAAAAATTAAGGTCAAGGGAACAATTTGTTGCTAAGGCAAATGTTGCTGAGCTGGATGAAGAAGCACCTCCTTAGACAAGAAGCATCTTGCCATTAATGAGCATGTCTCCTCCAAGAGGCATGCTTGTCCCCCAGCCGAAATTTCAACCTCCCTTGCTGATCAATGAGAGCAATGCTGCCACTTCTGGAAGAAGAGAAGAAGAACAGCCAAGTTTGGATTCCAGGCTCAAGGCATTGGGAGAATTAAACAATTACAAGCATGGGGAGGCTCTCATGAAGAAAGAACCGGCTGCAAGGCCCTATAAAAGAGGGAACTGCACTCTCAGAAGACATCGATCCATCTCTATCTCAATCTCTGGTTACCCTTTCAGTTGTCACAAAAAACACACAGAAAAACTCCAGGTAGAAGGCAAGAAGGAAGAAGAAACAACAACAACTCAGTAAGGAAGCCAAGTGGAGAGTAGCCATCCCAGTTTCTGCTTCAGTTCCATGAGTGAACCCTTTCACTCCCAGGAGTGGCTCAGAAACTGCACAAGCTTTTTTCTCGTCTCTTGACTGTTAGCTTGAACTTTGTTTATTATGCATACTTCTATGATGTCTTTTGATGTAGTAGATGTAGCATTAATCTGTATGAGTAGCTAAACAGTTTTTAGGGGTTATTCCCCTCAACTTATGTTGTAGTTGCAATGCACTGGTTTTGTTCCTTGTTTTAAGGTTGAAAGTTTTTCTACATTCATTTACTTGATCACTAAATTGAATGCATGCTAGAACTAAGGGAGATCTGGAAAGATAAACTTGGTTTGGATTATTTTAACCTTAACTTATGACATAGATAGAAATATACTTAGTTAACATAAGCATTCTTAAAGGCCTAAGGACTTAATGACTTTGTATCTGGAATCAATCATTGGAAAATAGATTGTTAAGGTTGCAAGGATGACTCTAGGAAAAATGAGAACTGACTTAGAGTTATAAGTGAGCTGAATGAATAAGAACTCAACCATTACAGTGCTAATAAACAACTACAACAGTAAGAAGAGGAGAAGAACACCCCTGGCCTTCATTCCCCTGGTGACTGTTTCTATTCCCTTGAGTGACACCTTGTCTGACTGGTAGTCTTTCTTTACAACAAATTTGGTAATTAGCTGTCCTCGTGGGATCGACCTAGCTTCCATTATCTACAAAAATCATAATTCAAGCTAGTAATATTTTTGGTGAACTCGGCACGCACCAGCAAGGAACAAGGAGCAGCTAATTCGAGCTGCTAAGGAGGAAGAGCTGGCCACCGCCCAGGCTATGTATAGGGATCTCGAGGCCAAGTTGAAAGAATATGGGGAGACCCATATACCCAAGGCGGAATTGCAGGAATGGATGACTGCCTTTTGGGCCAGGATGATGCCTACTGGAGGAATGGCTAACGTCATGGTGGGCATCAGTGAGGCAGCTATTGCGTTGGGTGGCCATGGCATGGCCGTTGCTGCTCTGGAGAGAATGGAATCGGGAAAGCCCGTCAATGCCGGCTGGCTGCAACAATTCGTGAAGCCTCACCCTCGAAAGACCCTTCGCGAAGCAATGCAGAATGGATTGTTGTGTCTGTCCATCGACCAGCTCCCTTTGTTCGAGCCCTTATGCAGCGCCATCCCCCAAATGGGTTGACCTTCAGAGATCACTGCCTTTGAAGGAGATGCCCCAACAGTGCCGCCTGCTGAACCTGGGGAAGAGATGCGGGTACTAGAGCTTGACCGAGATTTTATCGGTGTCGAGCTGGTTTCTGATGAAGACTCTTCAGAGAGGGTCGAGGAAGAGGAAGAGGAGGACCAGGAGCCTGAAGTCGAGAAGGACCCAACAGGCGAGAATGAGGTGCCCTCGACACAGAATCCTGTAGAGGAAACTAGCGAGAGCCAACCAAATGTCCCGCCCAACCCAAATACAGTATGAGTCCCTTATCTTGTAACAGGGTTTTTGCTACTTGGGTTGTAGACCTGAGCTTTCTGTAGTGTTTGTTGAATGGATTCTATTAATTTGGAATTTATAGAATACCTTTTCCTCGTTGCCTTTCTTCGTTTTTAATGCATCCTTGCTGATTATGTCAGGAGCCATATTACGTCCACAATGTGCACCTGATGATTCTTGATGAAGATGAGATCAAACATTTTCCTATGTATGCCATGATTTCATCGGCATTAAGAAAATTCGGGAACGTCCACAACACTACCATAGTAAGAGCGCTTGAGAAAGAGATTGTGGATGCTGTTCAAGCTTATAACGTGCATATACATTCTCGTTTGGTTAAATGTTTTAAGCAATAAGAGGAGGAGTGGAGACGTCGAGTCCATCAATACGATCTCGACTTCCAGGGCTCCTTGATTCTAGAAGCGAATATCAGCGACGAGATGAAAATGCTGAAGGACAAAAATGCTCGACTGAGGAAGCGAGAGAAGATCATGGTATCTCCATGGTTCCTCGAGAAATTTGACTTGCTCGCCTTGGTCGAGAAGCAGATAGAAATCTGGACGGAGCTTTTTCATAGCTGCAATTAATCTCTTAAAGAAGAGGACCAAAGAAGCAGAGTTCTACTCGAAACAGGTTTTCGTTCTACAAAACCTATTGGTTGATAATGAAATCGCTCTGCCCATTTTTGACGATCTCGATCCAAATGAAGAAGTGAAAGAAAGGACAGCTGCTGAGGAATACTTGCTTAGAATAGACGAACAAGATTGGGAGATTGTAGACTTGAAGGATAAGCTAGGCCATTGTATTAACCAGCTTAGAGCCATCGGGTTCTCTAGGGTTATTAAGCCTTCCCGAGTCAACCCTAGGGGAAAAAATCTTAAGATTTAAATGTATAGTGGTGTAATACATTCGTCTCGAGCTTGTATAAGTGTCGATTAAGTAGTTGTACTCGAGTCATAATTTGTATAAGCGCTTATGGGCCGGATGTAAAGTACACGGATCTGTCGAGGAACCAGGTACGGGTCCCTCGATAAAATAGTACCGCGATCTGTGGTGGGTACAAGGAAAGATCCTCGGTTTATGTGTCCGGATGTTGAATATACGGCACGATCGGGGATGGCCCTAAAGAGGGTGTCCATCTCACTGACTAGTCATAAAACAGTGTCGACACACTTAAAGTATAAAAACTATATAATGAGTTTTTTTGATAATTGCCCGGGGACCCGAGATAGCATTACATACGAAGGAAGTGAAAAAACAAGTCATAGAGCAACCAAAATAGCACATAGCATATAATAATTTAGACATAGAACCAGCGAAGGTTCTGAATGTTCCACCATCGAGGAAGAGTAGTCTCTGTGTCATCTGTTGTCTGCAGTCGATAGGTTCCAGACGGGGAGGCCTGAATGACTCGATAAGGTCCTTCCCAATTTGCTGATAGCTTTCCTTGGGCTTCTGCTCGACTGGCTTCATTTTTCCTTGGGCTTCTGCGAAGTCAGTGCTCTTGACTCGCTCATTATAGTGTTTTCTGAGCATATCTTTGTACTTGACTTTCCGGACTTTTACGGCGTCTCGCCGTTCCTCGAGCAGGTCGAGGTTAGTCAGGATGTCTTTATTATTGGTTATCTAGACAAAGCTGATTGTTCGAGGACTGGGAAGGCCGATTTCCACTGGGAGAACAGCGTCCATTCCAAAGACCAGGCTGTAAGGTGTTTCATCCGTAGAAGAGTGAGCTGTAGTGCGATACGCCCATAGAACGTGAGAGAGTTCGTCAACCCAAGCACCTTTGGCACTGTCCAACCTAGTCTTGATCCCATGTAAAATGGTTCTGTTAATCGACTCAGCTTGGCCGTTTGCCTGAGGATAAGCAACCGCAGAAAATCGGCGTTCCTGCATCTCTTCACACCATGACTTGAACGGATCACTCTCGAACTGAGTCCCATTGTCCGATACAATTACCCTGGGTACTCCAAAGCGACAAACCACGTTTTGCCAGAAAAAATTCAACACCTGTCTCTCGGATGTCGAGGCTAACGGCTTTGCTTCTACCCATTTGGTAAAATAGTCTAATGCTATGATGACCCATCGTAGGCCTCTTGCTCCTTTTGGAAAAGGGCCGATGATGTTAGTGCCCCATTGGTAAAATGGCCACAGGCTTTGGATAGTGACCATTTTGTGTTGTGGCTGCCGGGTGATAGGCGAGAACCGTTGACATCTATCGCACTTTTGCATGAATTGGTATGCATCTTTGAAGACTGTTGGACAAAAGTATCCTGCTCGAAGAACTTTTTTAGCTAATCCTCTTGCTCCCATATGGGCGCCGCATGAACCTTCATGAATTTCTTCGAGAACGTAGGCTGCTTGTCTGGGGCCGATGCACCGCAACATTGGCAACAAATACCCGTGCTTATACAAGATTTCGTTCTTCAGTGTATACTTGACTGCCTTCAATTTCAGTGCTCGAGCTTCTGACTTATTGTCGGGTAGCACCCCGCTTTTGAGGAACCGTATGAATGGAGTCATCAATGTGTCGCCCTCTTCTGTGATTGTGAGAGAGACTCGGGGATAAATGCTAGGTTCGGGGAGCATTTTGACCCACACCTTATGACTTAATTGTGCGAAGTTAGACGAAGCTAACTTATTCAGTGCATCAGCTCTTTTGTTGCTGGTCCTGAGAATGTGGGAGATAGAACATTTGTCGAACTTACTCCTGAGCTCTGGGACTTTTTCAAAGTATGGCCGGAGATGCTCTTCCCGGACAGTGTAATCGCCATGAATTTACCTAACCACCACTTGGGAGACACTAAAAACTTCCAAATTTCGGACTCCTAACCTTAGAGACATGTTTAACCCTGTTATCATTGCTTCATATTCAGCCACATTGTTGGTTACCGAGAAACCAAACCTCAAAGCGTAGGAATATTCAGCCTCATATTCTTTCTATCTCTTCGATTTCCTGTGACGTAGTTGGTTTGGTCAATATAATCCCAGTTCCTCCCCCGTCCTCACAAGATGAGCCGTTGACGTAAAGAGTCCAGGCTTGCGGATCTACGGGAGTGTGTTTTTGTGGTGGTGTTTCTGGTAGTGGCTCCAGCATGCTGTTTGAAGTGCGGGGCGTTTCGACAAGGAAATCCGCATATGCCTGCCCTTTTATCGCCGACCTAGGCTTATACTCGATATGATGCTCTCCTAGCTCGACGACCCATTTCATTATTCTACCTGAAGCCTCAGGCTTGAGAAGAACTTGTATAAGTTCTTCGGTTAAGTCCTGAATCGGGTGAGCTTGGAAGTATGGACGAAGCCGTCGAGCAGCGAGCACCAGACTTAGGATCAGTTTTTCCATGGGGGTGTATCGGAATTCCGCCCCCTGTAGGACTTTGCTCACAAAGTAATTCGGATTTCTTTGCTGTTTTTTTTTTTCTGGATGAGAACCGCGGATATAGCAGTTTCTCCGGCAGCCAGATAAACGTATAGAGTTTCCCCAAGCTCCGGTTTAGCTAACATGGGAAGTTGCTTGAGATGCTCTTTGAAGTCCTGGAAGGCTTTCTGACACTCTTCAGTCCATGCAAAATTCCTTCCTTTTCGCAATGTCTTGAAAAAGGGGAAGCTCCTTTCTGCGGCTCGAGAAAGGAACCTGTTTAATGCCGCCAGGGATCCCGTAATCTTTTGCAAGGATTGTTTTTGGGGCTTCCATGGACAAAATTACTTCGACTTTTGTGGGATCAACGCTCATTCTATCTTTTGATATTTGAAAGCCTAGGAACTTTCCGGAGCCAATGCAAAAAGTACACTTCTTCGGATTCAACTTCATGTTAATTGCCCGAAGAATTGTGAAGATCTCCCTCATGTCCTTGACTACCCTGTTGTCGAGGTTGCTCTTTATGACCATGTCATCCACATAAATTTCGATGTTGCGCCCAATTTGACCGTGGAAAACTCTATTGACGAGACGCTGATAGGTGGCTCCAGTATTTTTTAAGCCAAAAGGCATTTTATCGTAGCAGTACACTCCAATTTCTGTGATGTAAGCCGTTTTCTCTGCATCTTCTCGAGCCATAAGGATCTGGTGGTATCCTTTATACTCGTCTAGGAAGCTAAGTGTTCTAAAGCCGGTTATCTCCTCGACCATCTGATCAATAACGGGCATAGGATAACAATCTTTAGGACAATGTTTGTTAAGGTCCGTAATCCTGACACATGTGCCAAGAATTATCCGGTTTCCGGACAAGGACTTGGTTAGCCAGCCACGTTGGCCAAAGGACCTCCCAGAAGATGTTAGCGCGGACCAATTTGAGCGTTTCCTCATTAATGATGCCATTGCGATCGCGGGCAAAAGTTCTCTTTTTCTGTTTGACCGGTTTGACATTGGGGTCGACAATCAACCTGTGCTCGATGACTTCTCGAGGAACTCTGGTTATATCAGATGGCGACCAAGCAAAGATATCTCAAAATTCGCGTAGTAAGGGTATTACCTCGACTCGCAAGATTTTGTTTATAGATATTCCAAGCTTGATTGTCTTTTCTGGCTCTTTCTCATCCAGGATCAACTCTTCTGTTTTGCTGCTCAGTGGTGGCTGCTGGGGATGGTCGAGATCCATGTCCTGCTCTTCCCTTTACGTTCAATCGGTAGACTCCTTGTTGAACAGAATAACACCCCGACGCGGTGACAGCCAGCTCTGGCTTTACTATTTTCTTCCTGATTTTCACTGCTGTGAGTAGTCATTCTCGAGAACTACGCTGGCTTCCTTGCACAATTCCTATCCCATACTCTGTTGGAAACTTCATGACCAGGTGGTAGGGTGACCAAACAGTGCGGGCCTGACACATCCATGGCCGTCCTAGGATCACATTAAATGGCGAGGGTGCATCAATTATGGCAAAATCTATTGTTAGAGTTACCCTTCGAGGATATGACTCTACTGTGATAGGAAGCCTGACAATTCCGCTAGGGATTATCGTGTTCCCTGAAAAGTCCATTAGCGGTAATATTACGGGATGCCAATCTGGATTTTTTACATTCATCTTCTTGAAACACTCACTGTATATTATATCTACCGCGCTTCCGTTATCAACATATACTCCACTTACTTTGACGTTTCCTATGATAGCCTCGATAACTATTGCGTCATTGTGTGGACAGATGTCCGGGACAACATCACTGTCCGTAAGGAATTGCCTCCGTACCCTTGAACCGTTTATGACTTGGTTCCTGAGGCGGGGTCTTAGTTACTTCTCGAAGTGATGCTTTCATTGCTGTTGTGGATAAGACCTCAAGGGACGCACCGTAGATAGCTCCTACGTTGTGAGTGATCTGTTTGGTTGGATCAGGGGGAGGAACTTGCTGAATTGTTGTGGCCCTCTGTCCAGGGATTGTTGGGCAGGTTTCTGCGAGTTATTCCTTTGCTGCCAATTGTTTCCTCGGTTATCTCTTCGAGGGCCGCGGTTATTGTTCCGTCTAGGGAAATTACGAGGCGCCACAAATTTTCCTCCCTTTTCTTGAGGAGTACCTTGTGTGTTTTGTACGTACTACTGAAACTTTCCAGATTTGACCCCGACCTTAATTTCTTGCTTGAGTTCCCTGCAATCTTCCGTATCATGCCCATGGTCTTTGTGGGATTCAAAGTATTGACTTGTGGACCTATTTGGATTGTGAGCTGATGGTTTTAGAATGGGGAACTCGTCCTTGTGAATCTGAAGTATTTCTCGTCTAGGCTTCACCAACGGGGTTAAGGTCCTGTCGAGCCTAGGCAAGGGCGGTTTATTCTCTGCCGTTGACTTGTACTTGTCCCTGCCCCCTCGATCTCCTGCAAGCAAGAAGGATTCCTTTGATCGCTTGAGTGTCTGTTCGCGCTGGATATAGCTTTCCACTGTGGCCCACATCTCCTGTGTGTTTCATGGAGGCTTGGTGGTCAACTTCACTCGCAGGTGAATGGACTTTTCCCATGGGTTGAGGCCTTGGATGAATCCGTTTTGGACATGTCTGTCATCGAGGCAGTCTACTTGGAAGGATTCTCGGGTTAAACGGTGAAGGAAATCCGAGAGACTCTCGTTTTGTCCTTGCTTGATTGACGAAGGTCAATTGACATTTTTGTAATTTGCTTGCTGGGGAGGAAGCGTGTGGCTAGTTTCAATGACAAGTCTTCGAAACTATCAATGCTTTCCTCTGGTAGCTGTCCAAACCAACGTTGGGCTTGTCCATCGAGGAAGGATGGTAGAGCTTTGGCCATGAAGTCGAGAGACGCGTTTCGGATTCTCATGACCTGCACATACTTGTGCAGAAATGGCTGTGGGTCAGTGTCTCCCAAGTAGTTGACGAAGTCTTTTGGAAAGTCAAAGTCTCGAGGTTTCAGACAGACTCGAATCTGTGGGACAAAGGGACTCTTGTACACGATCATTCCTATCATTCTTCTCATTGAGTCGCGGATGGATGGGTCTTTGCAGCCTTGGTTTTCTCGTTGTCGAGTATATTGGGTTTCTTCAGGATACGGAATGTCGTACCTCTGATGACCATAAGGTATGTATCTTGAGTTGTGGTGGGTGTCACGGTGGTCGTAATAAGAATTCTCCGGAGGGGCTTTAGGTCCCAGTCGAGAGTGGACGTTACCTCTCGGGGGGGAGTTCCAATCCTTTCTTGACAACTCCTCGACGCTGGGTGACCGTGGGCTAGGTTGGCAGTGAGACTGTTTTTTCTATTCATGTTCTTTTGCAAATTGCTCAATTGCTGCAAAAACTGCCGGATTTGTTCTCTCGAGAGTGTCCCAAAAACTATCACCAGGGTTTTCGGAGGCCCCAGCACGAGAATTTTTGCGATTGCGGGCTTCTTTGTGCATCTCTTCTCCCCCTTCACCCGGGACTTTCCGTTTTCCTCGCCTCACCTCGAAGAGAGCTAATGTTCTTTTCGCCTCCTTTTCCTCGACCAGATCTTCCAGCTTTTCATCCGTAGGATCCGAGAGCCAAGTAAACAACAACGTTGGTATTCCTCTAGTATATATTTCTTTTTCCTCTGGTTAAGGGAATTGCTGGCTTTCAAATTTTTCAATTCCGTTTTGATCTCGGCCAGCCGCTGTTTTTGGTATGGATCAGGAACTTTGTGATGAGTTTCTGGATCGCCTTCCCCCTCACCTCCATGACTGGTTGGCCTTGTGGGGGATTTCTTTGTTTTCAACTGCCGGTCGTTTCTCTTCCGCTTCTGTCTCTCCTAGAATCTTGCTAGGGTTTCATCATCACTGGGGCTTTCACGCCTACCGGTTGATGCGGTATTGGATTGGAGATTGTCGATTATAGCCATTGTGTCTTGGAAAAACGCTAGCTTGGAGTGGTAGCAGCGGATCAAAATGTTTCTGAAAGGTTGGGAAAACTTTTGTGATACAAACCCTAATTCTCGGGTCCCACCGGGCGTGCCACTTGACGATGACTGAAATTTTACCTCCGGTCGGGTGGTAGAACTCCGGTTAGGGTTTCTTGTAAAATAGAATCTCGGAGCCTCCCAAGGGTAGACACTCCGAAGATTAAGTCAGAAAATAGGGTTATCAAATAATCTATATGTAAATTGGTGCCAAAGATAATGTACCTCAATTGTGGAGTAACCACCCCTATTTATAGGGCTTAGAAGCATCCGAATACTACTAGGTTTAGTAATATTAAGCCACCGATCTCATAGCCGGTTGGACTTTGGCCGAGGTGACTGGGCCGACCCATATCAAGGAGTGGATTTGGACTCGTCATTATACAAATACTACGGTGTGTTTGATTTTTTAGAAGCTCTTCTCTTCACTTGGGAAAATAAGTTGGGTCCCAGTCTAATTTTGGTTTTAGGTTTTCTAATTTAATGTCTATTTTTATCTTTCATGGATATTTCGATATTCCATTGGACTAATGACAAGGAACAAACTGGGAATGGGCAAAGCTGTGAATACTTAATACGCTGAGGATGATGATCATACGGTGGTGTCGAAATAAAACTGAAAAACCAATTTTTTTCCCCCGTAGATTCAGCTCTATCAAAATTTTTTCTAATATATATTCATCTTATTTTTCTTATCCGGTGCAAATTTAGGCATAAATGAGTGCTGGCTGGCCGATGAATTGAATGACACGCCCCCGAATCCTGAAAGCTTTTTGGGTTAACGGATTTTAGTATGCAGAACAAATTAGTTCTTACATAAAATATCATATGATGCATTTTCCTCACAAGATCCTTGCAGAATATTCACTTTTTTTTAACGCACAATAGCAAACTGCCGGTTTCTCCTTTGTTTCTTCATTTCAATGCCAATCTCGCACACTTTGATTCGGATTTTGATTAATCCAACCAGAAGGCCAAATATATATCGAATTGTTCACAAACACGAGGCAGCCATTAATTTTGATCAAAATATGTATGCTCAGAACGATGTTAGCTTTTGCAAATTAATTTTGCTATAAGAGATGTAATCTGTCCAGAAAATAGCTACAAAAGATGGAACCTGTCTAGGAAATTCAGATCAACTTGCCATATATGATCGTCATGGTTAATTAAGAGCAATTTGTCGTCACGTCCACGTTCTTTGCTCCAATCTATTAGAGGGGATCTTGATCTTGTACTACTGTTTTGAGATTTGTATCAAAACTCAATTGGCTAAAAGTTTCAGAGTACGATAAGGATCTGTCATTAGCTCCAACGTGCAATTTTAACACCAAATTAAATACTCAGGAGAGAGAACAAAAAAAAAAAAAAACAAAAACAAAAGATTCTACCCGGAAAAGCAAAGCAATAGAATTATGGTTTAATGTCAAAAAAATTAATTCCAATTTGCATATATTATGGAAACACCATGGTTTTACTCGTTCTATTTTGAACGTATTTGTATTACTGTCGATTTTGGTGTATGACTCAGAAACATGGCTCCATGTGGCCTCCTCGTACGGAACACATATCAAAGTTATACAATTGGTTACCAAAATGTCAACACTATATTGTGGGATTTGGTTCATTCATGCCTCAACATTACCAAACCAAATGGCCACCAAATCTCATGTTCTAGTTCTCACTTTGCCTGCACAAGGCCACATTAATCCTCTCTTACAATTTTCTAAGCTCTTAGCTTCCAAAGGCATTATCAAAGTCACAATAGTAACCACAAGGGCAGTGAAGACTAGCCAAGGAGACGACTCTCAGCTGTCAGAACTGATTAAATTTGAGTCCATCCCTGAAAGAATCAATCACGGCGGCGAAGTACCCGAAATATCAGCCCATCATCAAGATCCAAACAAGGATTGAAAGCACAAAGGCTAGAGTTCTGGAGCATATGCCATTAATTTTGGAGAGGAAAGCCTCATCTGGAGAACCTGTGAAAGTTCTTGTTTATGATTCAGTCCTGCATTATGTCTGTGATGTTTCAAAAAAGTTTGGCATTCAATCAGCTGCTTTCTTTACACATTGTGCTACAACTTGTACTATTTTTTATCAACTGCATGATGGGACACTTAAATCTCCATTGCAAGATGAACCAGCTGAGACCATATCACTGTCTTCAGTGCCCTGTGAGTTGAAGCCAAAAGATTTGCCTTCTCTGATTTATGACCCGGGATCTTACCCATCTCTTCTGAGGGCCACCCTTAATCAAAGTTTGAACTTTCACCATGCTGATTGGATCTTTCTCAACTCTTTTGACTCCCTTGAACTTCAGGTGAGTGAAATTACTGCTTGAAGTTATTTGCAGGCAAGTAAGTACTTCTCGGTTGTAATTGACCTCGACTAATTTATTAAAGTATATATATATATATATATATATATATATTATATGTTGGATACATATATATATATATATATATATGTTGGGCTCTTTGAGAATTTCCTTACATTGTGCTACAAATTTTTAATTTCAAGATGCTTTGTACTAGTTTATGGCTTACAATTTCAGCTATATGTTGGTGTATCTGATTCATCTAGAACTAACTGTTCTCTTTTTTTTTTCGGCCTAAATCTACCAGGCAGTCAGCTGGATGGCAAGTTACTGCCCAAATGTCAAAACAATAGGGCCAACTATTCCATCAATATACCTTGATAAAAGCCTCAAGGATGACAAAGATTATGGACTCTCTCTCTTCAACCCAGAGACTCACGCTTGCAAGCAATGGCTCGACACAAAAGCGAAAGGCGCAGTGGCTTATGCATCATTCGGAAGCATGGCAAGTCTTTCCGGAGAGCAAATGGAAGAAATAGCATGGGGTTTTGCAAACAGCCGATGTTATTTCCTGTGGGTAGTTCGAGCTTCAGAGGAGAGTAAACTGCCCAAAAATTTCGCGGCCCAAGTGGGCGAAAAAGGACTAATTGTGAAATGGTGCTCTCAACTCGAAGTCTTGGCTCATGATGCGGTAGGTTGTTTCTTAACTCATTGTGGCTGGAATTCTACTGTCGAAGCGCTGAGCTTGGGAGTGCCAATGGTGGTTCTGCCACAATGGAATGATCAACCGACAAATGCGAAGTTGATTGTTGATGTTTGGCAAACAGGACTGAGACTTGAGGCTGGTGAAGATGGAATAGTGAGAAGGGATGAAGTGGAGATCGGAATAAGAGAAGCCATTGTTGGAGATGGAGCAGTTGAGCTCAAGAAGAATGCTGCAAAATGGAAGGACTTGGCTAAGGAAGCGATGAGTGAGGGAGGAAGTTCTTATAAAAACATTGAGCAATTTGTTTCATCAATCGGTACCAAGTAATTATAAATTGCAATAAGATAGAGGCAATATGATTCGTCTAAATTGCAATAAGATAGAGGCAATAGAGGCAATATGACTCATGCTCCAAAGTGGAAATGAGTGGCTAAAGAGCCCATTAGTGAAGGAGGAAGCTCAAACAACACATGAAGGAATTTGTGTCTCACTTAAAATTAGTCTGCCTTTTGTTTCAGCAAGTTTAAGTTCAATGTCTGATTTTCTAATAATATTCAAATCAGGTCCCATTAGGCAGTCAAGTTATTATTTCCCTTTTACCCCATAAAAAAATCTTGTTATGTAAAATTATAACGGTTTTGTATACCGTGCTGTGATTATAATTCATTTTTAATAAGAATGACTTTCTCTGTTCTAAAATTATTGTTAAATTTGCGGTTTAGGATGGATCGTGGATTTACCATATAGCAGCGGGAAAAAGAAGATATATTCATGGGGGACTCATCCAACTGGACCACATGGGGGACTCATTTAAGGGGATATGGGAATTGCTGGATAGGGATTGGGAGGTGAAGGTGAACCATCTTGCGAGAGAAGCATTGCTGCCGATTCTCTTGCTGCGGTGGGAGACCAACAAGAATGGGGCGTTAGAAAACTAACGAGTCCTCCTGCGTGTGCCTACTATTGGCTACGCCATGATTTACACTGGGAATGTAACCGTATAATTGTGTCATAAAGGCTTATGCCCCTCTTTTGCACCAAAAAAAAAAAAGAAGATAAATTCGTGGGGAAGCATTTGTTTTATACTTTTATTCTATAGGTTTAGGTTGGATTTACCATATAGCAGCAGAAACAACAAGATAACTTCGTTTATTATGGTTATGGCCTATCATCGTTTGCCAACAAATTCATTTTCAAAATTATGTGCATCAGCATCAATGGATGTGACATTGTACCTTCCCAGAATACTAGTCTTGACGACATCTTAGGACAGATATATGACAGATCTACAACCTCTTTTCTAACCTTTTTCTTGTTTTTTTTTTTTTTTTTGCGAGTTGTTTTCAATAGGAAACTCCTCATTATTTTAGTTTAATTCAACAGAAGGCTAATGAAGTACATCCTAATTTAAATTTGACATTATCAGATTAATTGGCCATGAAAATTGCGGATTCTACAAATAAAGTATTTGGTAAGTTGAACGTACTGTGATATCGATGATTGCAGAACCAATGACTACCAAGCCACATGTTCTAGTGCTGATGTTACCTATACAAGGACACATTAACCCTCTCCTGCAATTTTTCAAAACCATAGCTTCTAGTCCTATTTCTGAAGCAGGCAATCGATCAGAATGCATCAATTTGAATGCCTCACTGAAATAATCATACCTACTATCAATTCCTATACGTCAACATAATTATCAATCGAGAGATTTTTTTTTTCACTTAAAAAATACTAAATCAACCGTTGCCAATTTGGATTGCTTTACTTGGACACAATTGAAATTAGTTTTGAAGATTTGAATTTGAGCTTGACTAGTCATGAAGTTCATTTCCTTTATGTATCTAGTATATCATTATCAATGATAATGAAAATATGTTAACTATTAATAGTAAAACTGTCACAACATATTTATATATATATATATATATATCCTATTAAAACAATAGTCCAAGAGGAAAAAAAAGGCTTACGTGTCGCGTTCTCATGCATCCATTCCCTGCCCAATAAAAACTACATAGTTTTGTGAAAAAAAAATTAATTTCTACAATCTTTAATTATTTTAACTTTCCTTGTTCTTAATTATAATCAATTAATTAATATTAATAGAATAAGACATTAATAATATAAATAAATAATTCTTTTATTATTTTCAAAATTTAAAACATAAGAAATTGAGTTAAAGTTAAAAAATACTTTTACCATTTGTATATTTAATTTTGAAATATAATGTTGTAAATGGTTCGGGCAACGCCCGGGCAAGCACATAGTTTTTCTCTTATAAGATTCGAAGGTGTGCACATAAATAAGGGTCATTGTCGTCAATTTTGTTTAACTTACGTATAATAAGTTCTTCTTCATTTACAGATAACCATAATTGATGATGGCTGTGAGAAATGTACTTTTCGCGCGCAGCAAACAAAAGAGTACTAAACAAAGGCTAATGTATTGTCTTGATCTTTTTCTTTTTAATGAAAGTCTTGAATTTCACCCCCCAACTAAAGTCAAACAAAAGGGACGTATTTACAAGCTGAAAGAGTTTAAAATTATAGCAGTTTGAGATTGAGACTTGATATGAATCTTGAGGCAAAGGTGGCAGATTTTCCTCGACGCGGAAGCTATGAATTTCCCAGGACTTGAAAATTTGCAAATCCAATATTATGGACTCCACAACTCACGAAAATTAAAAGAAAAGAAGAGATGCAAACCACAAAAATTTGCACCAAAAAGGGATGGAAAGGTTTAGAAGATGTAGAAAGGGTTTAAGGTTAGCAACCCAATCGGTCACCTCTCTAATAACCCTATCCCTTCGATTTATGGATAGAACGGCTCCAATGAACAACTAACAAAGCTCCACAAGTAGAAAAACACCTATTCTACTCGCATGCATCAACAAAGCACAAGCTTGTGTGCAATGCACTAATCTTCGAAAAGAGTAGAAAAAGAACAATGAGTTTCCTCTCGTCTCATATTGAAATAATTCATCAAAGGTACAAATGAAATGCTGGCCAAACACCCCTATTTATAGTAGAGGGGGCCGAAATTCTCCTATGAAGTAGGAGAAGAGTTTGATCTCTAACTCTATTCCTATTTTAAAGAACTAGAAATCAACTTAACCTCTAATTAACAACTTGTGTCTTATCTATTAAGGCAATGCATCTAGACACCTTTATAGACTTAAGACACACTAGTCTAATGAAAATAAAACTCCAAATACAAAGAGATATTCTCTCAAAAGAATCTTATCCTTATCTTGAAAAGAATCTTCCTGAGTTGTCAACTCTATCAATATCTTCTCTGTAGAGTAATCATAGCCATCCAATCTTGATCTAATCTCCATCCAACGGTTGAGAGTATACACCAAGGAATAGACTTCTTATTTTGAATAAACTCTAAATTAGATAAAAGAGAATCATATCAAATCTTATCCTTCCATGTGATAAGATTTAAATGATCTTATCTCTAAAAGATAGGGAATCTTCCAAGTCTTATCCTTCCACAAGTGTGATAAGATTTAAATGATTTTATCTCTAAAAGATAGAGATTCCAACTCCTAAAAATTAGGAGATAGGGCTGGCCTCCCTTGGTTTGTGGGCCAAAATTTCCTTCCTCAAATGGGCCTCGTAACACATTAATAATCTTGGGCTTGTAACTTCCAGACTTGACATTCTCTTGAGCTAAACCATTTGATATAAGATTATTAAATGCACTCCTTATCCTTTTACTTCTAGCTTGAGTCATTGGGCCTCCAATGTTGGATAATGGATTTTGAGCCACTCCTTGAGCTTGGACAGTACTTGGAACTCGAACACTTTAATCATCTTGGACTTGATTACCATGTATGTTCACATCAAGACTACTTATAACAAAGACACCATTTATTTAACACACTTTTTTACAAAAATGATTGTTGTATTTTTATGAACTAAAATGAATTCGATACGGAAAAAAGAGATGCCCTACGGTTGATGTTACCACAAAATTTCTTTTTGATAGTATAAATTCTTTGAAATTTTAACTGAATTCGAATAGGTTGAAATGAAGAACACAGCAAGCCGAAGAAAGGAAACAACATGTAAGACCAAAATTTCAATACAATTAAAATGTAGCTGACTCTAATTTCGAGCAGCTGTATAACCTCTCTTAACCACATGAATTCAGGCCGGATTTATTTGTTGCTTGGAGTGTCTCAGGCAAAAAGCCTTCAGCCTTCGAAGTCCTTCTTCAATGGACACTGGTTCTGCAGCAAAAGCAATTTTGATCCAATTCTTAAGCCCCACTGCAAATCCTGGAAGAATGATGAGAGACTCTTCTTTGGCCAGCTTAAGACAAAACTCCATGTCGTCGCCAATGTCTTCCAAAACTGATAGGTTGAGCTTTACCATAAACGCCACAGACCCTTCAGGTTTAAAACCGCAACCAACTGAAGGGATCTCCTTTAGCTTGTCATAACACAGGTTTGAAGTCCGCATCAGCATTTTATTGGTGTTGGCAAGAAAACCCGCTTCAGCGGTTTGCTGAATGAGTCGGGGAACAGCGGCTTGGATAAAAGTCGCTGGACCTCCACAGATATCGCAATACTTCTTGGCACGCTCCACCAACTTTGGATCTTGGAATTCTCCCGAGGGATCGTTCATAACGAGCCATCCGAGGCGCCATCCTGGGACAAACCATCTTTTCGAAGAGCCCAGCGTGAAAATCCGCGCTTTGGATCCGAAAACACCCATTGGAACAAATGGAGTAGCACCAAAAGCAAGGTGCCCGAAGACTTCATCCGCAATGACGGGGATCCGAAGCCTTCCAGCCATTTCCGCGATTTCCTCCAAATTCCGGTGGTTGTAAACGCTTCCACAGGGATTTCCAGGGTTGATAACAACCATTGCGACGGTATTCAGATCTGCCACACTTTCAACGGTCTCGAGATTAACCTCCCACCCGTTATGGGGCAGGAGGTCGTAATAACGAGCCTCAATATTTCTGAAACTGGAACAGATTTCGTATGTATGGAAACCCGGTCTAGGCAATAGCACATTAGACCCAGGGCGAGCCAAGACTGATATTACCATATCGATAGCCTGAGTGCATCCAGAGGTAATGTAGACATCATCAGGTGACAAGTTGTATGGAAGATCAAAAGACAAATAATCCGCAATAGCCTTTCTTGCTTGCGGAAGTCCACCGGTAGGAAAATAGCCATTGAATTTTCCGGAAAGAAGTGAATCCAGGACAGCTTCCTGAGCAGAAACATCGGTATTGAAGCCGAATCGAGCCGGGTCGCCAATGGCCAAAGAAATCACTTGCTTTTTGCTTTGCTCAACATTTGTGTTGGCCATAAGAAACCTAAGCGTCCCTCCGATGGTGATATTATTTGGTGCTTCAATCTCGTTTCCATCCACACTGTTTTCCATTGCTCTTTTTTGGGATTTATGTGCATTACTTTTGTCAAGAGATCGATGGGAAGAATGCCACACAGAAGGAAAGACTTTTTAGTATGCATTAGTATTTTTGTACACTATGTAGAATACTTAACGGTACTGCATTTTATGTATTTTTATGTATTTGAGGAAGTAAAAAACCCCCCCCAAAAAAATTACAGGAAACAAACATCTAACTCTTTTCATTCGATTAAACCAACCCAACTGGCCAAATACATATATCGGCCTATTGAAGTCAAGTATAATAATTACATAAAGCAGTGTTCAGAATGAAGTTGACTTTTGGTAATTAAGTTAAACTCTAAGAGATGGAACCTGCCCTGAAATTTCGGATCAACTTACCATGGCATATTGTGATGTATAATTATTTGACATGCATCGGTGATATAAAGACATTTGTCACAATTTGATACTGCATTACAAGAAGTGTTATAAGATTGTGGAATAGAAAATCTAGGGTCAATATTTACATATTTAACTCGTATTTATAGTAGAGGGGCAGTGATGATGAATTTCAGGTGTATAATATGTGTATCATTCTCGAATTAAAATATTTAAGTTGATCTTTTAAACATTCAGAATTGAAATACATTTAGAGTGTGGTGAGACTTTATGGGTATGTACGTATACATAAAGATGAAGATAACCTTCTCCATTGTTTGAAATAATACAATGTTTGATATAATCAAAGCTTGGTACACTACAAGGAAGTTAACTCCATTCAAAGCTCATCCTTACGAATTTTCCGTTCCAAGGCTGTTTTTTTTTTTTTTGGTTAAAGAAGAAAATACTAAAGAAAAGATAAAATAAAATAAAAAGATTCCTTTGACTATCGAAAAACTCAAGGCACTTCAGAAGGTGTCACTTGGAATCTTGGCTTACAGTTTTCCATGCGAGTATCGGACAGTTTGTGAAAAGTCTTCTACTAAATACTTTACATTTATGATGCATGCATTGTCCCAAAAGTTCAACTGTATAGTACAATACAGTTTGGCACTTCAGAATTAATCAATGAAAAAGATTAATATTAGCCTCTTATCATTGCCCAAACATTAAAAGTTTAAAGGGTAAACCTCATATTGGTCCCATACATTTGGTTTAATTAATATTTTCGTCCCGTACATTAATAATTAAAGAGGTTGTTCACAAACATTGATGTGTAACTTTTTTGCTCCCATTTCACTATTCAAGTACCATTTTTGTTCGGTCGCTAGCTGACCCCACCACAAGTAGGGGTACTTTCGTATTTTCATCAAATCTCAATTTATATTAACTTAGAAAATATTTAATTATTAAATTATTCGATATAAATTATTAAAATATTATTAAAAAAATTTAAAAATATTTTAAAAATTATTTGTCATTTAGTTTCAAAATTAATTTCTTTTACCATTTACCTTTTACTCCCGGGCCCACTGTAACTCTGACCATTGACCGTAACAGTAAAAATTTCAAAATTCAAAATTTAAAATTAAAAAAACAAAAATATTTTTCACCTCAAATTTTAACCCGCCATTTTTCTTACCTGGGCCCCGTAAATTTGACTAGTGACTGTTATACTACATCTACCCTAAATTTGATAAACAGAGAAAGAGAACAATGACCGCAATTATTTCCCCGAAAAAGAAATTTTAGCCCATATACACCGTCGAGATAAAAGGCAATTTTGAGCGGCTCTGCAAATCTCGTATAGTCACCGGAACCTTGATAGATCTAGGCACAGAAACGAGGCATCGATGTCGACATCTAGTAGCAGTTTTAACAGGAACAACGGCAACACTGGGCAACACTGGTAACTATTTGTGGTTCAAGAAAATTAATTGCAGAAAATGTAGGATGCGTTCCAATTTTGAAGTCTCCGGCACCCCACTAAATCCCGAGCGACTTTACCACCATTGTCCTAACCATGGGTTCATAGGTTGGGTTGCACCAACATGAATTGATACTGGAATTAGGCTAAATGAGGCTAGGAGAAGACACGGGGGATGAGCTGATACAAGCCACGAATTTGTTGGTCACCATGACCAGAGTGAGGTGAGAATCAACTGCAATTGTCACCGGTCAAATAACACGATTGTGTTGCTTAACATAACATGTTTATTTTGTATTGTTCTTGTTTTAGTGCTGTTAGTGATTAGGCGTTAGTATTCGTGTTGAATTGTTGTATGCTGTCACTAAATTTAGAGGTGTGCCCTTGCGGCTTAGAAGGAGGATAATGTATATGTACTCTTACCCAATTTCGTTTGACTAAGTGTTATCTAGAGTTCATGTTAGACTTGTATGAATCTTATTGCCAGAATTGAAACCAGTTCGTGGTAAATGCAGATTTTTGTCAGAAACATGATGGATTGCAAAAGTTACTGTTAAAACTACTAGGGACTAAAAATGTTACCGTTAGGGATGAACGAAATAGTAATGCAGCATTAGTTTGAAAGACAAGTTACAATTTCCAAACAAAAGTTTCAACAATACAAGATTATGAATCAAAACGTAGCATCTGGGAATGCTCGGCAATCAGTACAAGAGCATTGAGATGAACATTCGAAGTTAGAATCTTCTTCTAAATAGTATTCAGTACAGTCATCGTTATGTCCACACACATCATAGCAATCATCCGAGTCCAATTCAAGATCTGGATCACTATCCATGAAATCGTTATTCCGAGCAAAGAACCATTCATCCTCACGATCCAGCATATACAACGTGATTAATCTATCACCGGCCAAAGCATTAGCACACATAGGAGAAAATGATTCGTTTCCCAATATTCTCTCCACCCCATTTTCTTTAGTTATTGCATAAAAATGTACAATGCTTTGCGCCATTACGGGTAAGTGCAAAGAACATACTATTTCAAGATCTACATTATCGAATATCCTAAATTCACCACATCAATAAACTAAAAATGGTTTGGCATAAAGATCTCCACCATAGTATATTTTAATGCTTCCAAAGCCGCTACTACTAACTTGAAAGAGAATCAATAATAAACGGGAAAAACTTCACTGTTAAAAATAATCAGAATCTTATGACATGTTTTTAAAATTTTTGTGAGAAAGGATGAAAACTTACAGTAGACAGGAGGAAAGTCATCTTGTTGGTCCCTTGGACGTGGCTGGAAAGTCATCTTGTTGGTCCTTTAGATAGCAAGAACAATCACCACAACTTTGTGAGGAAACAGAAATGTGTTTAAGGAGATGGCACTTTTGTACCAAAGTAAACCAAAGAGTAAACCTAAGAGTAAGTTCAACAGGTGCACAAATTAGAAGTACTTGTACAAATGACCAATCCCGAACATCTTTGGTAAAACCCCTAGACAAAATAGGCACCTAATTCCAAAACCAAAGTACTATGCACCTAATTCCACAAAGTTCAAAACAGTAATCATTACGCTTGTTGCCCATCTTCAGCAGCTTTGGCAGCTTCAGCAGCATGCCTCTTTGCATGGTACATTCCAGCAATAGAGCTCATACAAGTGGTCCTATAGTGACCATCAACACCACACAAACTGCATGTCATAGTCCTCTTTGCCTAAAAGCATGATAAACACAAAAAAAAAAAAATGACTGCAAATTAGAACTACCACTAACACAATAAGGGAAGAAGAAAAAAGAAAACCTAAGTTGTAACATGAACGAGTACCTTCTTGGTAGGAGGGGCCTCATCAGGACCAATTGAACTTTTCTTTTGCTTCTTATTACCCTGCTTCGAAATTCCAACTTGACCATCTTGCTGGGATGAGCCAGTGTGGAAAGGACAACTTTGCTGGTTGTGTCGAGGACCTTTGTAATTCCCACAGTTGTAGGTCATTGTACCAGTCCTAGAAAGCTTTTGACGACCATCTTTCTTCTTCTTGATACGCATTTCCTTGAGCTCTGCTGCTGTCTTCTTTCGAGCCTTAGGTGGTCTGCCAGGTAATCTAATCTCATCAGGAGGAACAACATCTGCATGCTTTGTTTTCTTCCACAACTCAGGACCATTGTCTAGATAAATGACATACTTATGCATTTTCATAAGCTGCATTTGAGTAGCATTCATCAACAAAATCTTCAACTGCCTCAGATATCTCATTATTGCAGAAACTGCTTGGCTACAAGGCATCCCTGTTAACTGCCATCTCCTGCAAGCACAAGTTTTGGCTCGTAGATCAACCACAAATTGTTCCTCACGAATGGTGGTCACCTGAAAAACCAAATTACCGCCTTCAACAGCATGACATTCACTTGCTCTCTCCTTCAATTTCTCAAGTTTTCTCCTCACTTTGGGTCCAAAACAGTCAGTCATCCTTGCAAGAAATTCCCTCTTCTTCTGGAGCCGCTCCATAAGATATAGTTTCACACATGCCAACAATTTGTACGATGCTTTTTCCCTGGCAGGAAGCAGAACCTTGTTAAAACACTCAGATATGTTATTCACCAAAATATCACAATTTTCATTGGTTTTGAAATGGGATCTTTTCCAGTTTTTCGCCTTAGTGTGTGTCTTCAGCCATTCAGTTGCTTGAGGATCAAGTTCTGTCAACTCATTGATGATCTTCCTATACCTCTTGGGGTACGTGGCTCTTGCTGCTTCCCATAACTTATCTTTCGATGCAGGGCTGGGGAATGTTCTTTTGAAATTATTGTGTGTATGCCAAATACACATCCTGTGAGCGGCATTTTGGAACCCTCGATTTATTGCCTTAATTAGCCCCTGAAATAAACCGAAGTAAAATTAACAACAATTACCAACTGTTGACCTACAATCATTAAAAATCTCAAATTTTAAAAAAACAGTAAAATTACTTTCTGTTTATCTGAAATGAAAGTCCATTTTGATGCATCATCTGCGATCTCTAAGTCCTTTCTCAAGTTTTCCAAAAACCATTTCCAAGATTTATAGTCTTCAATCCTCACACCATCATAAGCAATGGGGTATATCTGATTACTGGGGTCCATGCCTACTTCGGTCAACAGAATTCCTATTGTTGGTCCCTTTAAGTGGCAGCCGTCGAGGCCAATGATGGGTCTACATGCTTCATTGAAACCCCTTTTCAGAGCTTCTAAGCAGACGTAAATTCCCTCAAACTGTTCTATCGTATCATCCAATTTCTTCGAATCAATTACCACACTTGAACCAGGGTTGTTTTTCAAAATCTCACCACGATAATCCCAAATCCTTCTATATTGCTTTTTGACATCACCTTCAATGAGTTTCAGTGCTTTGGCTTTTGCATTTTCTGCCAGGGTCCTGGAAATTTTAGCCGACATATCATAATCAATTTTCTCAGCAAACTGTCCAATTGTAATCTGGGGAGTAATACGGATTTCATGCTTGAAATTTTTACTTAGATAATCACCATTAGCACATCCGTGGTTCTTGTTTTTACCACCACATTGATGCTTCTTGTTCAATGTCGTAACCTCCCAGTAATCCCCAGCTTTTCTGTAAGTGATAGCCACAGTCCAAAGACACTTATCTTTGACATTCCCTCTACAGATTGCTTGGCACCTCATTTTATCATTCTTCTTCAGACGAATCATTTTCCCATGTATAACTCCTTGATGCCTACACAACTCCAAGAACTCAGCCTTTGAGGCAAACCTGAGTCCAATTTCCATGTTAGGGTTATCATAGTCTCGTTGCTTATTGTACCTTCTCACTTGTGGCAATTTACATCATCGTCCGAAGCAGAACCATTGTAAGCATCATCACTATTTAGGTGATCAGAATCCCCAAAATCCTCACTCCCATAACCGTCATCATCACTTCCTATGTCACTCTCATGTGGCTTTGTTTTTTCTTCCTCCCCAAGAATTTTAGGGAAAATTTACTTATTAATAGCTGAAAAAAAAATGAAGAACAAAATAAGCTTAGGGTTTAAATTATAGCCAAAAATAGCTTTCTCGCGCTTCAGAAACGCGAAAAAAACAAAATTCGCGTTTTGAAAACGCTAAAAATCAAAATTCCCGTATTGAAAACGCTAAAATATGTTTTTCGCGTTTTAGAAACGCGAAAAATAAGAAGGCGTAATTAATTTAACTTAATCCTAATTAATTAACGGTAAAAGAATTGAATAAATATCAGTTCGCGTTTTCAAAGCGCGAAATCAATTAAAAAAATATTTTATTTAAATAAAAAAGAAAATAGGCATAAAAATATGATTAATTTGACTAGTTTAAAACGTTATAGGGAAATTGACTTCAAAAAATTATTAAATTTGAATAATGGTAATAGAAAATTTTAAAATTATAATTGTTAATCATTAAATTTTGAATAGAGCTATAAAGAGGAAAATTATATTGATAATTTTAATAATACGAAAATTAAATTTTGAATAAGAATATAATATTATAATTGATACTCATTAAATTAAATAAAGCTATACTAAATATAAATTATTAAAAGTATGATATAGTTATTATAATGTATTAAATTTTTAGAACATTATATAAAAAAATTTAATAATGATATTTAGAACATTATATAAAAAAATTTAAAAATGATTATATTAAAATTTTTTATTAAAAACGTAATCATTATTTTAAAAAATAATTTTATATGAAAAATTTTCAATAATATAATGACGTAATTTTATGGATTTAATTAGATGTAATTTAATTTACAAATTATTTTTATTAATTATGATGGTTTTAATATAAGAAAAAAGCTTAAAATAGGAATAAATTTTATTAAATATTTATTATAATTTACCAAACACTTAAGATGAAGCAACTATTAATTATGAAAAAAAATATAAGAAAGTTTAAAGATGTGTTTCGATTTGATCGGCGAAGATGTGTTTTATAAATATTAATTATTGTATTTACGATGCAGGTGAAATCAAACTATTAAGAATATTAATACAAGTCATAACAAAATACTACAAGTCATAACAAAGGGTAAAAAAAATAAAACAAGTCATAACAAAAGGAAAGAAAACAGAAATGAACAAAAGGGAAAAAAAAATACAAGTCTAATAATACTACATAAGAAGTCTAGTACCCTACTTTTTCTTGGGCTTTTTAGCCCGAAAAAGGCTATAAGTCAATCTATCGGGCTCCTTCGTCACTCTCTGGCCTTTACTCACAGCCAATGGTGGAGTCCCTAGAGTATGACTCGATCCCTGCTCCTCATGGCGCTGATAACCCTGACCCTCAAACTGATCATCCTGGTCTGCATCCTCAGCCTCATGCTCAGCCTCATTTTCACCCTGACTCTCACGCTCACCCTCAGCTGGGTCATCAGCCTGATGCTGACCCGCAACACACTCGAACATACTCGAAAGAAAGTTACTCGTGTAATGTATCGACTGGCCATCTAGCGAACTCTGCTGAAACCCAGAAAAGTCAATAAAAGAATCTCCAAACTGACGCTGATAAGTCTGAGGGGAGGAAAACTGAGTGAAGGAAAAATGGGACTGCTGGTGCTGGGTGGTGCTTGCCGAGTTCACCAAAAAAAAGATAAATATTACTAGCTTGGATTATGAGTTTTGCAGATAATGGAAGCTAGGTCGATCCCACGAGGATAGCTAATTACCAAATTTGTTGTAAAGAAAAACTGTCAGTCAACAAGGTGTCACTCAGGAGAATGGAAACAGTCACTCAGGGGAATGGGGGCCAGGGGTGTTCTTCTCCTCTTCCTGCTGTTGTAGTTGTTTTATTAGCACAGTAATGGTTGAGTTCTTGTTCATTCAGCTCACTTATAACTCTAAGTCAGTTCCCATTTTTCCTAGAGTCATCTTTGCGACCTTAACAACCTATTTTCCAATGGTTGATTCCAGCTACAAAGTCATTAAATTCCTAGGCCTTCAAGAATGCTTATGTTAACTAAGTATATTCCTATC